TGTTCAACAAACCAACTAGCAGTCAAAATCCTCAAAGACTGGTGAAAGCAAAACACTTTACTCAATTTACATCAATTTTTCACTGGTGTCAACAATTTATGGGATTGGTTCCGCCATCTGCCTCGCAAGCACAAGGACCCGAGTTCGATCCCCAGTACCAAAAAAAACAAAAAACAAAAACAATTTATGGGATTAGGGATTCCCAGCAGCAAGCGGGTGCCATTAAAGGAAGAGAAATGAACATCTGCTTTTTCAGTAACTAAGTTTGGTTGTAATATTCAGTTTGAATAGAAAATAACAGGGGTGCATAAAAGTCTCACGTACTTTTTTTTTTTGGTACCAGGGATGGAACTCAGGGCTTGCCCAGCAGGCGCGGTGCCACTGATCTAAATCCCCAGCCCTCATGTACTTCTTAATGAATGAAGGAAAACTTCATTCACTGTGTTTGTTATGCAATATTTCAGTAGCTTCTGTTAAACTAGCCTTTTGACCTAACTAGCTGAAAATATTTTTATCTTCGTCCAAAATTTTACCTGATTATTAAAACTTTAATTCTTGAGACCAAACACTGCTCAGGTAATAGAAATCACAAAATATATTGGTGATTCTTAAGATTCTGATTGCTTTATCAGCACTTTTTAAAAATATAGCACTTTATTATGTATTTTTCAATTTATTTGTTATTTTTTTATTTTTTGGTACTAGGAATTGAACTCAGGACCTTGTGCTTTCGAGGCAGGCGGCAGCACCACTGAGCTAAATCCCCAATTTATCAGCATTCTTAACAGAGATTCTATAATTTGAAGAGTATTGTGGGCTGGGGATATAGCTCAGTGGGCTGAGGATATAGCTAACTCTTACCTGGCATGCATGAGACTTTGGGTTTTATCTCCAGCACAACCAAAAATAAAATACAATAAAATGAAATGAGCATTGTCTTTGGGTAACACAGCCAATGTAGTCATTGTGCAAAATATTTCTGGAACCAATCTTTTGGAAATGCCTTCAGAGCCAGGTCACAAGGCTTGCAAGAAAATCACTTGAATTATTTGAAAGTCGTGCCTCACTTGTAACCACTCATGATGTCATCCAGTTTGATCATCATCCAATCATCAGGGTTGGTAACTACTTGGCCATTTCCAAAAACCAAATTCATACTCAAAGAAGAAAAAATTACTCTTACTGAAGTAGTTTCCCAAAGACTCAGGCAATTCTTGGCAGGCTCTTTCAGGGACACAGTCTTAGCAGAAGGGAGAAAACTCCAGCCCAGCAGAGATCTCACCAGGTCCATAGTGTGGTGAGGGCCCAGGGCTGACTGCTGGTCCCAGATGGTGCCCAAGGGCCATCCCACCCACTGGACAGTCCAAGCATCAGTGGCTTCCGGCTGATGGACCTAGCTAAGCATGTCAGGCCTTCTAGAGCACCTTCACTTCAAACCAGGGCCGTGGGTACTGACAGCAAACACTCTAGCCTCGGTCAACCTGGTTTAAACCCAGCTCTAAGACCTTCTAGCTGGGTGAACTTGAGCAGTTCACCTGTTACTCCCTATGCTATTGAATAGTCTGTTGCTAATTACAGATATCACTCTGACTAAATATGCTCTGGCCAGTCTCTTTTTTTTTTTTTTTTGGTACCAGGGATTGAACTCGGGTCCTTGCGCTTGCACAGCAGGTGGCGAAACCACTGAGCTAAATCCCCAGCCCTGGCAAGTCTCTTTCTATCCCACAGGTCAACAAAGGACACAAAGCCTAAAAGTCATGTGCACAGGCTCTAAAGTCAGAAGACCCCGGGTCGAGTCTCAGCTCTTCTACTTGGTAGCAACTGACCTTAGGCCAGCTGATGCTACTGCTTTTTTTCATCTGTAGCCTGTGGCTACTGTAATAACATCTTTTTCCAGTGCTGGTGCTTAACTGAGATGAGATAAATTATGTACTTGCATCATTGTTCTGGGGAGGGGGACTTACTGGGGTCTTCCGGGGGCCTTCACACTGAGCCACATCCCTTTTCTTTTGTTTTTTCTTTGACAGAGTCTTGCTAAGTTGCACATACTGGGCTCAAATTTGAAATCCTCTTGCTTCAGCTTCCAGGGTGCTAGAATTTAACACCATTCTTAACACACTGAAGTATCAGTTAGGAAACTGATAGCTATAATTTTTTTGGTTTGGATATCTGAGGAAATTTGATGAATAAGGCCCACTACCTATCCTCAAGTGGCTCCAAAGGGCCCAGTGCAGTTGGAGAGTGACAGCCCCAGAAACCATGTTATGTGCAATAGGGTCCGGTAGCAGATGGCGGCACACGCTTCTACATGTATGAAGCCAAGTGGGGAGCTGCCCTGTGCACTGCTGTGGGGAGCAGGGGGTGGGAAAGGCCTCTGAGAAAGATGCTCTTCACACTGCGTTGCTGAGGAGTAGGATTTCCCACATGGTGGAAACAGCAAACCCCAAGAAGTTTAAGCCAGCGAGCGGCTCTGAGGAGGGGAAGTTGGGTGGTGGTCCTGAGCTTGGGAGACACCTCCGACATCAGAGGCGGTGGCCCGGCCCCTGGGGTGGCGAGGCTTATCCCGGGGAGCCCAGGTTTGCACCTCAGCTTAGGAGCTTCCTAGGGGATCTTGGGAAAAGTACTTTCCTCTCAGTTTACAGTGTCTTTTCTGTAAAAAGGGAGCAAGATTGCACCTCTGTCATAAGCTACCAGGAATACTTCGCAAATTAATGTTGTCAAATGCCTAGCACTGTGGCTAGCACAATCAAATGTTTAACAAATTTCGCTGTTAATTTCCATCATCTGAGCACAGATAGCAAAACTATAAAAGGCAGAAAGCAGGGGGCCCTGCAGGGAGGAATGGCAGAAGCAGACACGGCACAGACCCCTGCTACCAGATGTTTAGGGCAAGGCTGGAAACCTGAACCTGGAGGGGGAACTGAGGGTCCCAAAGTGTGGGGAACCAGGCAGATGCCAAAGGTTGAAACCTCCCAGAACAGAGTGGGGTCTCACTCGGGACAATCCCTGGCACACCAGCTCTGGTGCCACACATCACAGTGCTGTGCCCCAGTAACCTAAGTCTGAAACTAATACCCCAAGTCACAATCAGCTTTGACCGGGCTTCTCTCTGTTTGGGAAGATGGTGGGCTAACACAGAGGAAAAGTCTGAGCAAGATGATCTTTTCAACAATAACAGTATCGTTGGAAGCATTTATTTTCATGTACTGTATCTCAAGTTTTGGGATACCTAATAAAAACTGCACCTCTTTGGGCCGAGGATTTAGCTCAGTGGTTTCACCACTTGCTGTGCAAGCACAAGGACCTGAGTTCGATCCCCGGTACCAAAAAAAAAAAAAAATTGCACCTCTTTAATCCACCAATCTTTACTAAGATACAAGCAAAAACTATAATCATAAGCTCAAATAAGCCTGTGCTTTCCTCTAGGAGTGCAACAGTTGTATTTCAGTTGAAGAATTTGGGGAAATCCCACTGTGACCTTGAAGTTTAATAATTAAATAATACCAGGGCCACGGATTTAGCTCACAGGTTCTGCAGCCTGCCTCGCACACACAAGGTCCCGAGTTTGATCCCCAATACCAAACAAAACAAAATAAAACAAAAAACAAATATACCATCGTTTGCTTTCATCACTGAATTTTATAGAATATTTACTTGCTGGGGAAAGAACTGAATAAGCCTGACGACATGAGTAGTTTCAGATCCATCAAGGAGGTGGTTATTTTAACTGATGAATGTCCTTTATAAGCTGCTTTTGCAATTAATACTTAATCCAATCTTGCTTTACTATAACCTCTAAAAACTTGTCATCCAAAAGTAAAAGATCAGCAGCAGCCTGGTTGCACTCAGTGTTATACTGCCCTCATGTGGTAAATACAGAAAAGTTCACCTTTAAGATTTTTTTTCCTTTCAGCTTCTTGTTAAAGCTGTTTATCTGTGCTTTACACGTCCTTGTAAGCTTCCGTGCATACCTCTCCTTCGTGGTCATAACTCCTACGTGGTGGTGTACACCTGTAATCCCACCACTCTGGGAAGTGGAGGCAGCAGGGTCACAAGTTCAAACACGTCCTGGGCAATTTAACAAAAAAACAAAGTCTAGGGACACAGCTCAGTGGCAAAAGCCTAGGGTGCAATGCCCAGTACTGCAAAAACACACACATATATACATACATACTGCTGCATGGCCAGTCCTAAGGAAGGTGCGGAGAAAACGGAGTGGGAAACGAAGGTGGGAGCAGGCACCAATCCCCTTCCGCAGAACAAGGACACTGTGGGCAAGCTGGGCTTTTGTGAATGTGTAGGGCCTGCAAAGATGGGGGTGCTGACCCACTAGATGGCTGCACACTCCCTGAGTATGCCGCTGCTGCACTGATGCTGTGAAACATGTAAATTTCGGTATCGCATTACTTATTGCAAATTTGTTTTTCATTTGTATTTCCCAAGAAACTGGGTAACTACAGAATTTCTTCTCACTCAGACTTTATGAAACAGTGAGAAAAATATGCATTTGAATTGCTACAAAACACAAGTTGAGCATTCATTATGTATTGCAAACATGTACTAACAAAAAAACCCATAAAAAACCAAACAGATATAAACAAAAAGGAAATGAAAAATAACATAAATTGAAGAGGTACATTTAATATACAATCTATTTACAAAGGAAATGAGTAAAAATGTATCAAGGACTAAAGGAAACAGAAATGCCAGCCACATGTATTTATACAGCAAATGTGCGTAACACCTTTAAAGCAATTGAGAGTCAAATACTAAGACTATTACCTCAGGAATAAGTTTTAGAATGCTCAACCATATATGATTAAAACAATGACTATCTTAATAAAAAATTATAATCTTATCCTCTTTGAAAATCAAGTAACTGGAGGCCAAGTAAACCATTTAAAAGATTTTAAAGATTCTTAAATTAGGAAGTCATAATTGCTCAAGAAAATCACTGAAGTGCGTATTCAGCTTTAAGTGATACTAACATACAAGGGCGGGAGGGTTCATCCACCTAACTCTCTGCAATAGCCAGTTATCTGCAGGATCTTCCAAAGCCAGAAACTGGTATTCTTAAGAGTCTTCCTCAAGCTGGCGAGATATCTCTCAGTCCACAATATCATTCAACCTCACTTAACAGAAGATGAGATCCTTTGAAAGGCAGCAAAAGGCAGGCCAGTGTTATTTCTGCATCTTTCCTTCCAAGTGTAGACACAGCTTTGTGACCTTGGCCAACGACTTCTGTGCATAGCAGTTCTCCCCTTAGATCACTGTCCCTCTGCCTGTGAAATGTGATGTCCAAACTGCAATAAAGCAAATGTTAGCACAGAAATTACTGGAATGTAAAAACAGAATGACAAGACTACATCAGATGACCCCTTGAGGTTTAATTCATTCAACGACCAATAGTGATTTGAGAATTAGCTGTGTCAGCTCAGAGTCAAGGACCCACAAGCAAGCAAGACAGCAGCCACACAAACTGAGCTCCCCGTCAGCTACCACTTGAGGCCCTGTAGCCAGCATGACACCAGGTGCTATAATATCACTGAGAAAGAGTATGTTCCACCTAAGTGAATTTCTTGGAATAACAGAGGGTTTTTAGACATTCTAGAATTTTAATAAACCAAGTTCTAGTCTCTGCTTATTCCTCAGAGGAAGGATTATGTGCACCACGAGGTTCATTTTCCTTGTGTAGAAAACAAAGAATATTCTTTTTCCTTTTTTAGAAGGATAAGTAAAAAGATCATAAGATAAGTAAAAAGAAGCACTTTGCAAGTTATACATTAGTACTCAAATGTTAGAAATGCTGATTTTAGAAACATGTGCATTTTTGGTGGTAACAGTTCTAAAGCAAACTCCACACTTTTTTGCATACAGTTAAATGAGTATCACTTTCCGAATCAATATACTAAACCTCAGATACAGGATACACACACAACGCACAACCCTTAGAGCCCGTGCACACTGGAATGGAAGTGGGATGATTTCTCCCGCCATGCTATGCTCGTTGAGTGGTTGTGTGCACTGCAGTTGTCCCAACTCTGCTTCTGCTGGTGTCTGTCACTCCTCAGTGCTACCCACCCGACTTTAGACATCACCGCCCTTCCAAGGGCTTAACTAAATTATGAGATGTGAAAAATCACCCTCCAAACTCTGTCCTTTTAAGCACCCAGATCATTAAAGATACCTATGACTCCAAAGCAGAGTTAACATTCCATTCAACTAAATAATCCCAAGTCTTTATATGTGACTGTGAAAAATACTGACGTAGTCCCGTTTGATACAGTTAGGTTGACTTTATTGCAAAGTTCTTTCTTGATCCTCTCAGTTTCAGACATCCAGTTTATACCAGAGACAACAACATCAAATTAGCACCTCTCTAGGATGAACCATTATAAGCGTATGCACAGGTATTTTTCAAATCAAGTGTTTTAGTTCATTATCAGCTAAAAGTGAAAATGAGCATGTAAAATTGACACAGAAAGATTACTGTAGTCTCAACAATTTATCCTGCATAATTACTTCAAGAGAACTTGAATGTAAAACTATATCATGAAAAGCACAATTGAGAAAAACTTCAAAGTTAATTTTATATCACTGTAGCTCACCCTTGAAGTTTCTGGACTAGAAAATGGAGAAGACTCCCAAGATCTATTTTCTTTGTCAAAGGAATCATCTGCTTGAAATGCAAATTTCTGCTTAAGTGCCTGTGATATTACAGACACTGGATCCCACTCTGAACTCTGTCTTTTCCTCTTATGAATGGGTCTACCATCAGGCGACCTGTTTTTTTTAACAAAACATTGAATAAATTAAAACTTTGATGTAACTTTAGCTCCTTGTTGACAAGCATAGCAAGAATAAAAGCATAATATAACATAATCAGTCTTCAAGAGATTTCTGCCAGGAAATAAGGTATCTGACAGGTACAATGATTTTAGAAACAGAAAACCAAGAAACCATGAGGGTTGGGGCTCTACCAGAACCTTGCTCTGATTTAGACATCCTTGAATACTACTATGCTGAAAAGTCTCTATTTTTAATTTTCTAATTTTCCAGGGGGTAGAAAATTTTAAAGAAATATTTAAGAACTTCCAAAATAACTAGAAATCACGAGAAGAAAACCATACTGTTTATCTGGTTATTCATTTGGTCCTCACTGAATGCTTATTCATCATACTATTCAAAACAGCAAGCGATTTAAAACTTATAAATTATTTCTGGAATTTTTTATTTAATATTTCCAGACTATAGTTGACCATGGGTAACTAAAACCACAGAAAACAAAACAGTGGACAAAGCGAACTATAGTACTCCTAATGTTCTACAAAGGAGAGAAATATAATTACAATATCAAAAAACAATGAAAGATGTTTCAAAATTATAGAAGTATGGCAATAGAAGAAATAGCCAAAAAGAATTGAGAATCATTTATGTCTGCAAAGGGTATTTAGGAGTATGGAGGAGTAAGAAAGTATCTTTGTCAGCTTTCATACACATAATTTTTTGAAAACAGCATTCACAAAATTTCAGTTTATTTGTCAAATTATAACCACATACCGCTTGACAGCACGAAGCTTAACCTTATTCAGATCCTTTAGAACATCTAACATGTTCGGAACATCTTTATTTCTCCAGCTTTTTGAATGACGACTATAATTCATCTTACTAGCTCCTGGGTGCTGCTTTTTCATTTCAGTAGCTGGATTATCTGAGTCACCAACTGTAGGCTCTGATTGTAAGGGAAGAAAATGTGAAGGCTGGAAAGGAGGAAACTGAGGAGGAAGCGGTGGTGGTGGTGGAGGAGGAGGAGGAGGCAGTGAGCTCAGATTTGGTTCCACACATGGTTGAGCTGCCCCTGATGAGGGAATTTGTCCTGCACCGCTGGGCACATCATTTAAATTCGAAGAGCCTAAAAACAAAGTCATTTGTTGAAAAAAAAAAAAATGCCAAATTTGAGCATCATATATAACACTAAGAACCAGAACAGAACAATTTCTATAATGCTGCTGAAATAGTGATATGCTAGCCAGCAAGGATAAATAATCCTATCTGCTTAATTATTTGTGTCAAGCCAAACTGTAAACTCATTTTAATCTAATTAGAAATTCTCAGTGTAGGCCCTAATAGAGAGGAAAATCCAATGTCTTAGTCATTTTCTCATCACTGGGACATAATTCCCACATAATAGCCACAACTTAAAAGGAGGGGAGGTTTATTCTGGCTCACTTTTTTTTAGCAGTTTCAGTCCACATTTGGCAGGCTCGAACATAGAAACTGCAAGCTGGAAGGGCCTGCCTTGGAGGACAGCTGCTCTCCTCATGGCTGCTGCCAGCAACTCCCCCTCTTGTGGCCAAACCCCATCTCCTAACTACAGTGTCCCCCTGCTTTAATCACCTTTCAAAAGCTCCATCTCGGAGTACACGAGGCCTTTGAGGGGACATCCAGATACTGTATAAACTGTAGCATGAATTGTTTTGTTTTGTTTTGTTTTGTTTTTGGTACCGGGGATCGAACTCGGGACCTTCTGCTTGCGAGGCAGGTGGCAGAACCACTGAGCTAAATCCTCGGCCCTGTATCATGTATTTTAGTGAAAATGAGGCATTTTTTGAGTAATTCATGTAAAATTTGAACCTCATTCTCCATTTTAAAAAGCTAAAACATGGTCAACAATTTGTAGTTAAATACTCAAACTGCTGCATCTACTCTCAAATGACACTAGACAAACAAGCATATTATTTTCTATGCAAAAGTTTAAGATGGGAATAAAGTATTTAACTTTTTCACAACAGATTTGCTCCTGGAAAACTGTGGTTAAACATGCTTAAGGAAAAAATTGTGTATATTATTATGTACTTAAATAAATCATTACATATTATATAATTTATGTTTTAAATATATACTGTATATTACTTGCATCAGTTACATGTGTATGTATTACAGATTATATAATTTTTTCACATATTTACACATAGCTCATGACCAAATCTGTTGTGAAAAGTGTTCAGTCCCTATGTTGCTTAAAATTTTATGTTTAAAGCAAGTTACATCTGTACAAATGTAAGAAAGTATCAACTGGAAACTATTATTCACTTAAATTAGTGGAAGTGTAGTAGCAATTAAAAACTACAAAGATATGAGGCCTCAAACCTATTTTCTTTTTTCTTCCCCTTCGATTACCATTGTTTTTCTGAAAAGCTAGAAAAGCTTACTTAGAAGACTTTTTTAAAGACTTTTTAATACTACAAAAATACAATTTGTAGTAATGGCTCTTCTTTATGCCAAAGCTATCACCTTCACTATAAATGTATCTTGACTTATTCTGAAAAAACATCAAACACAATCATTTTAAGTGCCCAACATCCTTGTATGATACATTTACTGCTGTGCATAGCTCTTACTCTGCTGCACTGACTTAAATACCAGATGAGTGTCCTCTAGCTGAAACAGAAATCCAGTACATCACTTACCAGAGTTTGTGCCACTTTTCTGTTCCTGCATTTCCACAATTGCAGCAATCTGGGAGCGAAGAAGACTTAGCTCATTTTCAAGGGCAGCTATTTTTTTAATTGCAGCTACATCTACAGGGAGATCATTTTTCACTGGTTTGTTCTGCCTTTGAGCAGATGACGGTGGATTCCAAACTCTTTGTAAAGAATGAAATGTTTTAATTTTCTCCTCTTCTTCATTTTTCCACACGCTACTTCTATAGGTGGAAGAGGGACAGAGAAAGAGGAAAATTTGCAGTCAGAAAAGAAATAAACTCTTTCATAAAAAAACAAAAGACAAAATAAACTCAGAAAAACTCCCTTTGTCTGTCTGTTTAGACTCAGAGGACAAACACACATCTTATTTAACTTTGGATTCTCAACATACAGAACAGAATGTGGCCTCCAACAGATAGATGGCCATGAGAGCCAAGGAATGAGAGAACAAGCCTTGCCCTCAGACTATAAGACAAAAATACTCCAATTACCCTATCATTGTTCTACCCATTAACTTTAAATACAGTATAAGTTTATTTAGAAATTATACATAAGGAACTAAAAGGCTTTACATTCAGGATTATGTTAACTGGTGGTAAGTTTCTGGTCGTCTAACCTTTTGAAAATTGATAAATCAGTGTGACATATAATAGATTTAGTCAGAACATTTGAATAGTTGACACTCACTGTACTTACAGCATATACTGACTATAACAACACAGAAGTTAGCGCTCCCTAGGAGTGACAGCCAACGGTTGAAAGGCAGCTGTCCTTCAGCGTGCATGGGGGACTGGTTCCAGGTTGGTTCCCATCCTAACAGGAAATCCAAGAATGCTCAAATCCCTTATATAAAATGGTGCTGCACTGGCATTTAACCTGCACATATCCATCACCTCTAGATTTCTTGTAATTCCTCATACAATGCTTATTCACGTGGATTCAGGACAGTACTTGGGGCACAAAAAAATTCAAGTTCTGCTCTTTGAAACTTCTGGAACCTTTTTTCCAAATATTTCTGATCCACAGTTGGTTAAATCTATGAATGTGGAGCCCATGGATATAGAATCCATACAGAATTCTCAGAGATACAGATGCCCAACTGTATACTTAACATCACTGTTTAGTGCACAGTAAACCCTATGTACATTTTGACTAAATACATAAAATAAATGCAGCATTTACAGTATTTCATAGAACAGCAATGTTTAATTTCTAGTATAGAACACAGAATGACAATAATGACTCTGATGCCCCCTTTAACTCACTGCCCTCATGCCTGGTGTTAGGTTTAAATGTCTAGTAAGAAAAACTGGCTTAAAAATGAGAAAGTCACCCTTATTAGGAAGATATTAGTAGGACACAGCACATACAGAGACAGAGAGAACAATACAACTCAAGCAATATGAACAAACTTCAACACATGCAGGAATTCAGGTTACAGCCCATATCCCACTTCCCAAGATAACCATAACAATTACCGAAATCTAAGACAACTGGCTTCTTCATCATTTGCCACAGACAAAATATCAGCAAAAGATGGAACTATAGGTCCACAAGTATCAGACTCTATAGAGTTCAAGGGCGGGATCAACTAAAAGTAAAAAAGAAAACAAGTCAGAGCCCTGCAAGAAGTTGAGGGAAAACAAGTGCCAAGTGCCCCATGCCCCATGGCATTAAATAAGTTAATAATCCAAAAGAGAGAAGAAAAAGAATATTCAGTAGAAAAATATGCATCTGTTAGCAAGAAAAAATAACTGATGAAAATGTTACCCTATATTCTACACACGTACCAATATTCTCTCCCCTGGTTAATCTTATCTATTACAAAACAGAAATAAAACTAAAACAAACAAGCTCTTTGTGTGTTCCTTGCACCTGTTCACCTTTAAATATAATTATTTAAAGAAACCAAAAAGTGTGAAGTGCCTTGTTTCCAGGGGTAAACTAAAGGTTCTCAGCTTGCAGGAAACATTTCTTGCTTTGTTGTTAGCTATCCTATCTCCCTAGAGTACCCAGGATTAACCTACAAACAGCTTAAACAACGCATGGTGACTGACTTACTTCAAAATTAGGTCTTCGACAGGGTTCTAAAGGAAGCATTTTTCCAATAATGCGGACAATACTCCGATGTGATCCATAGTCCTTATTGTTCCAACTCAGCAAAATCTATTTAAAAATAAGGCTTCATTTAAAATATACTTCATTTAAACATGTTTATGTATCTAAAAAGGAGATGTAAAAGATACAATAACATTCATTTTTTAAAGAAAATACAGAACCACATAAAGTATCTTCTTCAAAGAATTAAGATTTTTAAATATTTATCTTTTTTAAAACCATGAAGTTGTAGGGTTTAGCTCAATGGTAGAGCACTTGTCTAGCATGCACAGGCCCTTGGTTCAAACTCCACCATTGCAAAAAAAAAAAAGAAGAAGAAGAAAAAGCGAACATATAGGGCCGGGGATTTAGCTCAGTGGTTCCACGCCTGCCTCGCAAGCACAAGGTCCCAAGTTCAATTAAAAAAAAAAAAAAAAAAAAAAAAAAAGGAAAAAAAAAAAAAAGTGAACATATATACATTCTTGGATGATCTTTTAAGAAAGCAACACACTCCATTTTCTTTTTTCCTGATAATGTCCATATCTTGAGGAACTTTGTTCAGAAAAAATGCCTTCCTTCCCTTTAAAATTCCATCTTTTGACCAAAAACTGACATTCTCAGCTAGATCTGGTGATATATAGACCTTAATGCCAGCATTCTGGAAGGCTGAGGCAAAAGAATCACAAGCTTTGAGAGCAAATTAACAAGACTGCATCTCAAAGTAAAAAATTTTTAGTAAGGGCTGGGGATGTAAATCAATGAAAAAGCCTTGGGTTCAAGCCCCAGTAACCACCCCCCCACCCCCCAAAAAAACTTGACAATTTCAGCTAGCCATGGTGGCACATGCGTGTAGTCCCAGCTATTCAGAAGTCTAAAGTGGGAGGATCACTTGAGCCAGGAGTTCATGATGAGCCTGGGGAACATAGTAAGACCCTGTTTCAAAAAAAATAAAAACAGGGCCAGGATTTAGCTCAGTGGCACCGTGCGTGCCTCACAAGCACAAGGTCCCAAGTTCGATCCCCAGTAACAAAAAAATAAAAAAATAAAAATAAAACCTGACAATTTCAATGTATCATGCGATGAAGCAATACGGAATACTTCTGCAATTTCCTTTAAAGAAATAAAAAGCAGAATAAATAAATGAAGTATAAGACAACTCAGAGTTATTTACATACAGTGGAATATATATGCTGGAAGTCAGTTCTTGAAAAAGTATTAGAAGCGAAATGTGCCATATAACCTGAATACTACTCAATCCTTTAGTTTGGTATGGTTGGGATCCTAAATGTCCACCTACAAAGCTCCTTGTGTTGAAGGCTCTTCCCTCTCTTCCTCCAGCTGCCATTCTCCACTATGCCTTTCTACCATGAAGCCAATGACCATGAACTGAAACTGCCAAAATCATGAGACCCAGAATATCTTTTCTTCTGTAAAATGTTTATATCAAGTATTTTGTCACAGCAACAGAAAACTACCTAACACATTAGTACTCCTCATATTAGTGTAAACTATTTCTACAAGAATCTCCCTCCCCGCAAAACATGACAAGATATTTATTTTTTGCAGAGATTTTAACACAAAAAGATCTCTCTCTTTTGCAAAGTATTTAAAATTGGACTTTTCATTTTTCCTAAGATACTATAATAAGTACAAATTTTACTATGTGAAACAGATACAGAGATCATTCTATTAGCATCTTCATGAAAAGATTCAATAAGTAGTAAGTACTTCAGGTGAGCCAACAGATTCACAGTTCTAAAGCTCAGGAGAAAAACCAGGATTATGAAAAACAGACTTGGGATGCATTAAGCTACAGAACACATGATACTGTATAGGTAAAAACTGAAGGGCTGGGGATGTAGCTCAGTGGCACCGAGCCTGGCAAGCAAGCGAAAGGTCCTGAGTTCAATCCCTGGTACGAAACGGGGGGGTGGGGGGGCACATTGAAGCCATAGAACTAGATAAGGCTAGAAAACAAAGATTTGAAAGTCACCAGCACATAGAATCCTCCTGCACGAAGTCATGCCATTACTCTGCTTTCAAACGGCCATACTTCTATATTTGTCTGATCAAATCCAAACACTTGAGTCCTAAATTGAATGATTTCACCAACCAACCTCACAATCTTTCATCAGTTCTGCCAGCCCAGTCTCCGCAACACACCCCAAGCATTGCACATTCATCCTTCAATCACTCCTTAAGGTCCTGCGCTGCTTTGTCCCATTCTCTCTCTCCAACTTAATTTCCCACTACTCACTAATAAGAACACATGCTCTTCTAGGTCAATCAGTTTTCTTAATTGTCTCAAAAATAGGCCAATAAGCCATGCATTCACTAGTGTGCTTAGTAGGCCCTGATCTATCCAACTCCAGCCCCAATGCTCAATGCTGGTTCAGTTTTCACCTATGTTTGACTATGTGATTCACATTCCTCCACAAATTTGATCGTTTCCACTATCTAAGTTCAGTTATAAACTAGCCTTTTTTAAATTTCTGAGACAGTGTCTTACTCTGTAGCCCAATCTGGCCTGGAACTCGTGATCCTCCTGCCTCAGCCTCTCAAGTGCTGGGATTATAGCCACACTTGGCTCTACACACTAGTTTTCTGTTTTTTGGTACAGGGGATCAAACTCAGGACTTTGCGCTTGTGAGGCAGGAGGTGGCACCACTGAGCTAAATCCCCAGCCCTACACTAGTTTTGATGAGTACCACATGATTACATGTGACTTCATTTCATTTGCAGTTTTCTCTCCTCCAATATAAACTCTTCCATTTGAATCCTAGTGGGCAGTATTTCTCAACCATGGGCATACCAGTATTACCTCAGACACTCTTCAAAAAAAAAATATATAAGCCACATGCGTAAATTAAATATTCTAGTGGCCACATATGAAACTAGAGACAAATGATGCTGGGCATGGTGGCACACACCTGTAATCCCAGCCCTCAGGAGGCAGAGCCAAGAGCACTGTCACGAGTTCGAGGCCAACCTGGGCTACCTAGTGAGTTCAAGACCAGCCTGAACTGCATAGCAAGACCTTGTCTCAAAAACCCCCCCCCAAAAACCCAGATATTTGAAGTACTTAAAAGTGGTATGGGGCCAGAAGCTACCATGTTGGTTAATGAAATCTAGACAAAAATGGCCCCAGACCAGTTAACACCAGGATCTTTAGAATCCTGAGTATTTAAAGTATCTCATACTTTGATTCATTTAATTCCTCTACTATGAGCTAGAGAAAAAAAAATCAGAAAATGACAATATTAAGAAAAACTATAAATCCATGCCGACTTCTGCTGGGTCCTCAGAGGGATTCTGCAATCCCTTCATGACATCTGCTCATACTATGTCATGAAAAACTATCCCCAACTTGTCCCCAGTGTCACTACTTTTGTTACCTCTGAGGAACCTTGCTTCTGCTCTGAGAAAACCAAATCCTTCAATTTGACATACTTCAGTTTCATTTCTGTCTGCTCAAAATCTCTCTCCTACCTGTCTTTTACCTATTCTTTAAAATACAACTGTCTCCCTTCTCCGCAAGGCTTAGATTCCCTGTCCAAGTACCTTCTTCAGCATAGTATTGTTCAATCATCTGCTCTCATTTGTATCTTAAATTCTTCCCCCAGAGCTTGCAAACATGCTGAAGTTACCTAATTTTAAAAGGGAAAAAAAATTCCATCCTGCTGCCTCTTTGAGTTGATGGCCTCTTTTCTCAAGCAAAGTTTTCTCAAACTTCGAAAGAAGACTGCTGATGCCACTTCCCTTCCTCACATTCTTTGTTGTTGTTTTTTTGGTACCAGGGATCGAACTCAGGACCTTGTGCTTGGGAGGCAGGTGGTGGCGCCACTGAGCTAAATCCCCAGCCCCTTTCCTCACATTCTTAAACTACTCCAATTTGGTCAGTCCAAGTCCATCTATAGAAATTCATAAAAGTACCAATAATCCAATAATGATAAGCAAATCTTCAACTGCTATTCAGCACTCGTCTCCAGCCTATTACTGGAATTTAACATGCTTCAATAACATCTAGTGACATTTCCCATTATGTCATCAACGTCCATGGCTTCAAATACCAAAACAATGCATACAACTACCAAATCCAAATCTCTTTTTCCCCTAGCCTCTATAACCGTATATCCAACTGTCTGCCAGGAATTTGTTTATATATTCCAACACCACCTCTGGCTCACCTTATCTTCCTACTCAAATTCACTGCTCATAATGAGTTGCCTATAGTAACAGCATCATCACTCTTCAATTTACTCTGGTTTAAAATCTGAGCATTATGTTTGACCGCTCTTCTAATCTACCTCACCAAATAGATAACTTGCTCATTTTGTAAGTACACATACTATTTTGTGTCTTTCTTACAGTCAATCTGTTATATGTTTCTTGTTTCTCTCATATTTTAAACTTCATGAGTACAAAAACCAAGCATGGCTCCTTTATTATCTGCAGAACCAAGAATACTGCCTTATATCTACATAAATAGATAAAACTGTACTTGTTTATAATTCTCAGGCCCAAATCAACCTCTCTCCCTTATTTATTTTGGATTTGTTGCGTGTAAGTCACAGTTCTATGTTCAAACATCAAATCTGTTCATAAATTACCTTAAAGTTTTATTTATCTATATAATCAATTTATTTCTGTGAAGGTCACATCAATATTTTGATTCTGCTTCCTTTTTATCTTCTGTTGGCATTAGATGGAGGTGAACAGATTAATAATCTTAGCCACCCACACTTTTTTGTGCAGTACTGGGGACTGAATCCAGGGCCTCTGCACTGAGCTACATTCCCAGCCCTTTCTTATTTTTTGAGACAGGGTCTCGCTAAGGTACTAAATTGTCCAAGATGGGCTCCAACTTGCCATTCTCCTGCTTTGGGGCCCTGGAGTCCTAGGATTACAGGCTTGTGCCACCAACACTATGCTTTATCTCCGCCCTCCCCTTCTTGACTCAGATTATCAAAGCTATACTAATGAGAGCTAACCTTTGTCTCACCTGAAGATAAGTAACAATTGGGCCTTAGATGTATATAAATCATCTTTAAAATGAGACCCAAGAAAAAAGCAGATTCATCCAAAACCATTAAAAAACATTTACCTGGTCTATGGGAACACCAAAATACGCCAGCATTTCTCTTAAGATATTCAACAGGAGAGACATTGGTGAAGCAAATTTAGGGAAACATCATCAGTTTCTTCGTACCTTTGAGGAAAATTTTTGAAAATATTACTCCTGACATATAAATTGTATTACTAAATCTAGAAGAGATCTTCCATTACTCATTACACCATCAACTAATTTCCCCTGGCTGGCATTACTGTGAAGGAAACAAAGAAAAAGCGGCGGGAGGGAGAGGGCGTGGTAAGGAAACTAATTGGTCTTTTAAATTATATTAAGATCTTCTAGGATAACTGAGTCTACAACGAAAGCCTGCCATGGAGGGTTCAAGTTAATGTGCGACAGCGAGGCTCACGGACCTGAAAGCTCTAGGCAGATTTTTAGGTGAGAGGTCGGTTTAGCAGACCCTGGAAAGAAAACAAAGGTCTAGGGCCGGGAATTTAGCTCAGTGGTTTCGCCGCCTGCTGCACAAGCGCAACAACCCGAGTTCTATCCCTGGTACCAAAAAAAAAAAGAAAAAGAAAAGAGGGGTCTGACTCAAAGCTTTAACGAAAGGAACGGTAGCTCTTCTCAAGAACAGGGCGGAGTACCATCTCTCAGTGCTCCTTTTAAAGGCAAGGATGGACATGAACCCGATAGGTGACACAACTCTTGTCACCCAGCTGGTAACAGGATGAGACCAAAGCCCAGTCGTGTCACTCGCTTCCTCGGGGGGTCGCCAAACCCAGCACGATAGCCTTGCTCACCTCCTCCAGGACCGAGCCTCGGGCAACCACGGATCAGGAAGCGGAGGGCGTTATAGAAGCGAGTCTCCAAATCCGCACCCTCGAGTGAAAACTTTCAGCGTGCGCCAGTGCTGACGAGGAAGCGTACAGAAGTCAACTCTGAGCCGGCCGGCGCACCTGGGCCTGAGTCACAGGAGGTAACGACGGCTCCAGCGAATGGCCTGGGCCGCCCGGGGCTCGACCCTGGAGCACAGCACTCAGCCTGGGTGACGCAGGGGGAAGCGCAGCCCGACGTCCTGCGCAGACTCTGCCAGCCTTGCAGACTCTGCCAGCCTTGCAGCCTCTGGAGGGGCTCACCACTTCCACGTTCCTGGATGGAAAATTAAACTCCGCGGGCCGTGACTCAAGCCCGATCTCATTGGACACAACTGAACATTGCTCCTTCTGATTGGGCGTCGGATGACGTCAGGCTAGTTATGTCAATTCCCATAGGCCTTGGAAACGGGCCTCTCCCTCTAACGGGCGGGCTTCCCGCGAGGCAGCCAATAGATGCCAAAAGGAAGCTGATGGGCGGGACAGGCAGGGACGCCGAAGCGCGCGAAGGATAGGCTGTTAGGGTTTCCCGGGGTACTTAAATATCGGTGTAGACCCGGCTTTACTTGACCACTACGGACAGCCAGCGGGGCTGGGTGGGCGATTTAGGGGTCTACCCTCTAAAATTCTCTGGCCACGAAGAGTCGTGATTTGTCATTCAGCGAGCTCTATTAAACGCCTAGGCGGCTAAAGGTTTGCAGCTTTGCAGTATTGAAGATTCATTCGTAGCAGGGTGTGGTGGCGCATACTGGGATTGAAGTTTGAGTCCAAGCCTAGGCTACAGAGATTCTCAGGCCACCCTAAATTTTGTCATAAAAACAAAATTGTGCCTGCTTACTGACTTACATAATTGGGGGGTGTTAATTTATGATTATCATTTATTAATTCAACTAATATTGGACGTCTGTTATGTTCCGGGCACCATTCTAAACTCGGGAAAATGCAGGTCATTTTACTCCTGGAGCTTACGTTGTAGGACAAGTCTGAGGGGCTTTCTCTGAGTACCATCTATAAAATAGCTATTTAGTCTACTTGTTGAAGAAAACTGGATATGGGATGGGAGAAAACATGACCAAGAATTATTTAAGACTAGCATGGCAGAACGATGGCAGTGATTTTAAGTGATATACCCAGTAGTCTGAACTGGGAAAAGATGAAAGGAGTGGAGAGGTGATGGGAAAAAGTCAAAGTAGAAGGCACATGGATCAGAAACCGTACAAGGAATGAGTAGATCACAATTTCCTCAAATGCCTTGTCCTCTTTTTCCCTCCTAAGTGAATAAACCCTGACTTTATAACCTCCTCCCTTTTCAGGCTCTTACCTAACACAGCATATAAAAGGGCCACAAAGAAACTGACCAAGCAAAGGGGAAAGAAAAAAAAAGGAACCACTACTGCTCTGGTTGCACTATTAACATGGCTCAATATTCCAATTCTGACTTAGGCAGCAACATGGGCACAAGGTTAAATGCATCCATGAATGCTTTAAACAACTTTTGCAATTCTCCAGATCCTTCCTACATTTTATATTAAAGCATTCATATTACATTTGGATAACCTGTTAGGAGATTTAACATTTTCTACTGCATATCTTTACACTGAATTTTTCTAAACTTTTAGAAAAGCGATATGGCTCCCAAGTAGTGTGGAAATATTGTGACTTACTTTCTCAAATTCTCCTGGCTGTGTTCACTCCTCCCAACTTGATGCAAACCCTCATTTTGTCTTTTTTTTTTATCCTGCTCAAACTGATTTTATTTTCAGTGTTTTCTCCTCAGTGAGGGGCCCTGACCCTAGACCTAGGTCAGTTTTTAGTTTGCAGGTTGATTTGTCTCCAACTGCTATTTAGGAACTAATGCAAACAGCTTATCACCTACTTTATTGCAAATGCTACACATTAACCTTTGATTTTGCCATCTAGCTACAAAGATTTTCCAAGAACCACTAATAATGTATTTCCTTGTAGGTTATTACTATGCCACAGGCCAGAACAGAAAGATTTTATCTTATTACACCCAAAGCCAGGCAGTTTTGTAATTAATGGGGACAGACTAAAGACTGGTTTGGACAAAAGCTAGAAATATGTGTACTCAACTCTTGCCAACTTCCCAGTGGAATCCCATTAGCCTTGTGACACAAGCCTTAAATTTTGTGTGGTAAGGTAAACTGAAATTACTATGCTGTAATTACCTTAATAATAGGGCAGAATATAACATTCTATCAAAGTTGCCAATAGCCTCTCCAACTTTAGCCATGAGTCTCTGATATTAAAACATTGTAAATTATCCTGAAAAAATTCTCTGCTTTACACATTGCCAATTAAGACTAAATAGAAACAAGACATAATACCTATATATTGGATCTACATTTTAAAATTGTTAGTCACTTGGATATTAAAATAAAATCTAAATAAATTACAAAAGGACTTTTAATATGAACCCTTAAAAATGTTATGATTTCAATATGAAGGATCCCCAAAAGACTCATGTATTGAGGGCTGGATCCCAAGTGCAGCCATATTCAGCAGTGGGGCCTAGAGAGGTGACTGGATTATGTGGGCGCTGATCTCATCAGCAAACTAATCCACTGGAGTTCACAGCTCAATGGGCCATTACAAGGTGGAGCCTAGCTGAAGGGAACAGGTCATGGGGACATAACCTTAAGGACAGTATCTTGCCCCAGGGCTTTCCCTTGCTCTCATGCTCCCTCTACTGACAGCCATGAGGGAAGTAGCTCTCCTCTGCCATTCCCATCCATTAGGTTGTTGTTGTTTTTTTTTATTGGTACATTTTAGATACACATAATGATAACCCATCCATTAGGTTTCTGCCTCGCTAAAAACAGAAAGAGCAATGAAGCCAGATAACCAGACTGCAACCTCTGGCACCGTGAGCCAAAATAATTCTACCTTTTTTTAAAGGTATTTTGTCATAGCAACAAAGCTAACACATGACTTACACAAGTCTAGGCTGGGCGGGGGACTTAGCTCAGTGGTGCTGCCTCCTGCTTCCCAAGCTCAAGGTCCTGAGTTTGATTCCCGGTACCAAAAAAGAAAGTCTAGGTTATGCTTAGTGTCTGAATCCAAAGGCCTTTGCATTTATCTCTAATTACTCAAACTATTTTTTATCAAAAATTTCTTGCTTAAAACATACAACAGAGAAAAAGCTTTAAAATGTCCTAGTTTTATTTTGCTTCTGGATCACCCAGACCATCCAGCTATACATCAGTCTTGTGGTTTCCATTTAATTTTTTTTTTAGTTACAACCCACATGATTTTCAATATTGCCATGGTCCAGGTAACAAATTTTAAAGTTTTCCTTTACAAAAACTCTAGTTATTTTAATTCCTTACAGCTAATGAAAGATGTCATCCAAGATTAACATGGCACAAAGGATGACAAGGAAGCCTTAAATTGCTACAATTAGAATTTTTTAAATCACTGGAAATTTTAATTGACAGCATTAAGTAATCCAAACGAGAAAAAAGTTCATCAGATGGCACAGCATTCCTGACAAGCTATCCAGACTGCCTGCTTCTACAGAAAATGTTCTATTCGCAAACTGCCTCTTTTTAAGCCTTGTGTCAACTATTATCTCACTAAATTGAGCAAATGAGTCTGTGTGCCTATGAATTTTATCTTGTGACTCCAATTCTCTCCTGTAATTACGGAATGTTAACATTAGGTTAAGGTGAATGAGTTACTAGCCTGAAAGAATGTGTTACATTGAGTGATCCCAGGACAAACGATGTAATTCTATGCAAAGAGTAAGATTTTAAGATAGGCAAGTGAGCCAGGTTTGGTAGCTCATGCTTGGAATCCCAGCACTCTGGCCAGCTGAGGGAAGGTACTACAGTGGACCCTTGACTTAGGAACTCAATTCATTCCTGAGGCCTGGTTGTAACTCAAGTTACTCAACTGAAGACTCAGGCTCCTCTACGCAGCCTTCAGTCTCTCCTGTACACAGGCAGATCTCAATGTCCTTAAGAGACTTTGGCCCAGGATTTCTCAACCCCACACAGGAAAGGATGTTGCACTGTTCCTTCCAGAACTCTGTAATGGTTAAATCTGTATCTCAGACCATCTGGAAGCACATTAACTTAAAACTAAAATTCCAAGATTGTAACCCAGTCATAACTCCATGGTCAAGTCTGAGCCCAGCCTGGGTATCAGAGCAAACTCCTCTCTCAAAATAGAGGGATGGTGGCACTGAGGATGTGGCTCAGCGTAAAGGACCCGAGTTCAATCCTCAGTACTGCAAGACGACAGGTAAGAGTAACGTAAAAACAGCTCACAGTAGTTCCAGTAGAGTTCATTATTGCTAAAGCTTAGGCAACTGAAGGCATCAAAGAGTTTTTAGCCTAAAAATGACATTGAAAAATACCTTCCAGAGGTTGGCAATATAAAGGATGAACTATGAGTCAAGAGATCCAAATTAGAAAACCACAGCACTTGATGAGCACCTTTGGGGATGGAGAGCAGGCAGAAGATAACACTCCAGAGGTACATCCATTGGCATAGCAGTGGTGTCAAACCTATGGCACATGTGTTGTTTTTAAAACAATAAATGAGTTTCTAAACTAAAACCTCAGTATTCAGGTTTAGTTGTAATGTTGATACTGCAATAAACTGTGTTTCTCTTCTTCAGCTCTTGAATTGAGTTTATATTCTATAAAATGCTAATGTTAAATAATCTTTCAAAACTCAGTGGACCATATATGTCTGGTTCTATTTCTAGATTGTTTTATTCAAATGATCTATATCTTTCCTTACACCAACACTGCCTTGATTGCTGTAGCTTTAGAAGTCTTAAAATTAGGTACTAAATGTCTTCCAACACTTTTTTTTTTAAACTTTTCTAGGTCCTTTGTACTCCTACATAACTTCTAAATTTCAATATCCAATTCTTCATTTACAGCAAGTATACACAGACCTAAATTTTTATATATATACCTTGTGTTTTCTAATCCTGCTAAATTCAAATACAAGCTCTAGGGGCTCCTAGAGATTTCTTAGTATTTTCTCTGTAGATGATCATTTCATCTACATATAAAGATTTTGCTTCTACCTTGTCAATCCTATCTTAATTGTGTCATTTTATTGCCAGACTATTTTGGGGGGGCCTAGGTTTCAAAGTTTAATGGACAGATAAAGAGTAAGCATATCTGCCCTTGTTCCCCACCTTAAGGAGAAAGCATTGTAACTTCTCCATTCGTATAAGGCGTTTTTGCTGGAAGTATGGAGTACATGTCTTTAATCTGTTGAGAAGGTTCTACTTCTAGTCTCCTGATAGCTTTCACCATGAACAGCTGTAGAATTTAGTCCAATACTTTTTCTCCAACTACTGACAGGATCATATGGCTTTTTCCTTTCCTCTGATAAAATGATGACCTTTGAGGGTGGATCTTCCAATGCTGAACCAACTCTGCCATCCCTATAACAAAACCACTTTCTACATCCTGCCAGATCTGACTTCTAATAGTTTGTGTTTTGTTAAACAAATTTCTATGTTCATACTTTTTCTTCTATTATCTTTATCCAGTTTTAAGATTAGCACAATGTTGAGTTCCTAAAATGAGGGGAGAAGTGTTCCTTTTTTCTGCTTTGATGTAATTTATCGGTTAAAATGTGTATGAGCCTGCTGTTGTCATACAGGTAGGTTTTCAAGCTAGGAATATACTTTCTTTAATAGGTGCTATTCAAATTTTATATTTCCTCCAGAGTTAGTTCCATTAATTTGTCTTCCAAGGTCCTTCTTAAAAGCTGTCAAATTTATTTCAAAAAAGTTTTGTAATATGCTTTCTATATCCTTTTAAATTCTGTAAAATCTGTGGTAATGTCTCCTAGATCTTGATACTGTAATTTAAAAAATGTGTAACTGATATTGTGTAACAAGAAGAAAAGGTCTAAAGGAGCAGGGGAAGTGGGAGGGGTAGGGGAAAGGAAAAAAGGGAAAAGAAAAAATATGAGAAAAGGAAAAAAATGGAAACAAAGTCTTTGCAGATAGGAAAGGGTGGAGGGGGTGAAGGGAGGGCAAGGGAATGGAAAAAAAAATAAGAACCAAGAGACTCATGTAGTGGCACAAGATCCCAATGATGAATGTGACTGTATTTTAAATCTAAAATGTACCAATAAACTTAATGGGAAAAAGAGAGAGAGGGAGAGAGAGAAAGGGAGAAAGAGAAACAGAGAGAAAGAGAAAGAAAAAGAAAGGAAAGGAAAAGAAAGGAAAGGAAGGAAGGAAGGAAAAGAAAAAAGAGAAAAAAAAGAAAAGAAAAAGTGTCTTGGGTTGCAGTTTGGAGGCACTTGTCTCTAAAAAGCTTGCCATCACTGGCAACAGAGTAAAGCAAAGAATATCACTTTGCAGTAAGGTGGCTGCAATCTGGAATGAAGTGGCAGTACAGATGTCCTGAAGAAAATGGAGGTTAAAAGAATTTACGAGGTAGATTTTGGTCATCTGGATCTAGACAAAACTGCTAAACTGTCCCTCACAGAGTATCTTCATGATTCTTACCCCTTCCATTCACTAATCATACTTTCATAATTTCTGCTACCCTTTATTACTTTTTAACTTAGCCATGAAAGAGCTGTGAAATCATGGCCTTTTTAAGTGCCATGATTTTAATAATAACCTTCACAAATCTGACTGCACCATGAAAACCCCACTGTTAGTTCATCACTTTCAGAGCCTCGCCTGAAATCTATATTGCCTTTACTCCTTCCAACTGTTTTGGTTCTCAGTCATCTTTTGTAATGTCCTGATGATCAAACAGCCAGAGAACTTGGCATAATGGCACACCTAAAGTTGAATGGCTAGTGGCATTTAAAAATACATGCAAATTTTTTAAAAGTTGGAATTAGCACTGCAAAGCTTAGTTCTGCCATTTTCTTTTCTCCTATAATTTATACCTTAAGCCAGAAATTCAAAACATTTACCTCAACTTGCCTAAAAATCCCTCTTTATAAGGCAGTCATAATCCTTTAACTTTTAAATTAATTCAACTTAGCACTGAGTTGACAATGGGTGGGGGTTTGTTTATCCTTTTATGTTTGGCAATTTTTTAAAGGGGATTTTGGGGTGCTTTTTACTTTGGTTGAGACAGGGTGATGCTTTGTAGTGGAGGCTAGCCTTGAACTTGCAGTAATCCTCCTGCCTCAGCCTTCCATGTTTAACCCTTTAAGCTCCAATGCCAAACTTTCTGAACATTTTTCACACAGGTATTAAGGATCAAACACAGGGCTTATGCTTCTTAGCAAATATTCTACCACTGAGCTATATACTCAGCCAAGAACTAAATTTTTTGTGAAAGATCTTTATTTAATCATAAAGCTGGGTATGGTTACCCATATCTGTCTGTAATCCCAATACTGTCTGGAAGACTGAGGTAGGAGGACCATCAAGTCAAGGCCAGCCTTGGTAACCTAGCAAGACCATGGTCTGAGAAAACTTCTAGGAATGTAGCTCAGTGCTGGAATAAACATAGGTTCTAAATTCAATCCCCAGCGTTGTTCTCCCAGGCAAATCTTAGCCAAAAGACAAAGCAGCAATTAACAATTTCAATTTTTTTATGATTCCAATTATAGTCTTGTTAAGATCCTCCTTGGCATTACTGAGCCAGACAGGACTTGACTTTTCAACCTGCTATAGATCATTTTAAACATTCTTCTGTTGCCACCTTGTTCTATGGCTGTCATACATATGAAATTCAATACTAGGTGGTGTAAGACATTTGAGAACTATTTTTGACCCTTCTGCATAGTGCATCTACTTATGACCTGTTTTGTTTCAATACCCACATCTAGTTTTCAACCTATTTTCAAAGTCTAACAATGCAGGACTGATTTTCGTCCAGGCTGGTAATAAGTTGTTTTTAATAACATATCAATATACTTACCACGTCTAAGTAAATGCTAACGTGTCCTTAAATTTCAAGATTTCTCAACCTGTTTAGAACATGGAGGGACATCTACAATCTATATAAATCAAGTGATCTTTAAAAACCTCTATTTATAAACTGAATTAGTGAGAGACAAGAAGTCTATCTTGATCTTTAAAAGTATCAAAAGGCAGCTAGATGTGGTGACACATATGCCTATAATCCCTGCATATGGAACACTGAGACAGGAGCATTGGAAGAACTTCTAGCCCAGCATGGGCTACACATTGAGTTCAAAGCCAACCTGAACTAAACAGCAAGACCCTGTCTCCAAAAAACAAAACAAAAGAAAGTATCAAAAAGGTTGGTATGGTCATTCACACTTACAATTCCAGGACTTAGGAGGCTGAGGCAGGAGGATCATTACTTAAATGAAAGTCTAGTCTACACAGTGTGTTAAGGCTTGACCTAGACTACAGTCAAGACCCATTCTCAAAGATAAATCCCATCAATGTTTCACTTCAAATCCTATCAAAACCTTTCATCTCTTATATCCCATATTTCAACTAAAAGTACAAATTAAATTTTAATAGTCATTCCTCATACCTGGAAAATCCTTCCATTATTTGCTCAAACAATGCTTACTACATTGTGAACTTCTCCACTCAGAAATCTGATCTTAGTTTTGAGAAGATGCTATTAATCCACAAGCCTCTTGCCTCAATGCATTTGGTAACTGTATATTAATACTAACCAGTTAACTTTTAGTTTAAGAAAACAACTGTTTTTTGGTTAGTTACTAAACTACTATATTTTTAGAAAGAAGAGTAATTTCCGTCATATTATGGCTGATAAGGTCCCTAACACAAGAACAGGACAAGAATATAAATCTGAATTCCTCGATTTTTTTCTTTTGGTCCATACTAGGGATTGAACCGAGGGTTAAGGTTAAGGTTACTGAACCACAACCCTAACCCACTTCCTTTTTAGAAAGGGTCTAAGTAAGTCACTAGGTTGCCCAGGCTGAGCTCAAATCTGTGATCTATCCTGTCTCTGCCTCCCAATGGGCTGAAGAGTACCATGCTCAATTCCTCTATGTTTTACTAATGGCTTACTTACCAATTTAAAATTTTTCTGTCTTCCCAGGACAAAGAGTAAACAAAGTTTAAGAAATTTTAAAAAGTATTTATCAAGCTATATCACACCAGGTTTTCTAACCAATGAGTTCAAAGTCTAAAATCTAGAAACAGCCATAGAAATCAGTTGTAGAAGACAGAGGAACAGTCTCACAATCAGGTAAACAAACAACTGCTGTTACCACTTATGACATTTTTATTGGCATATGACAATTTACAAGGGTCCCTGTTGCATTATACATCACACTGAGTAAGAATCGTTAAGCCATCTACATTCATTCTTATTGGGTAATATTTTTCTCAAATTATTATTTAATTCCCAACACTGATTTTAACTGTGACAAAAAGGAACCAACAGCAATTCCTTGAAGCAGACTGCAATTGAAAAAACGTTTTGCTTTTTGTATTAAATTCTTAGGATGTTAAAAGTATACAGACCTAAGAATTGAGTCATGGCCTTATTAAACAGTTTTATTTTTTCTAGAAAGAAATACCTTTGGTTCGTCTTTTTTTCCCTTCTCCAAGCAAAAGACAAGTTTGTTAATGCAAGTATCAAAGAGTTATTTTCTGGCATTTGTAAATAAATATCCTTACCAAAAGGAACCATTCAGCTTTTATAACATCATAAAGTGTGGAATTAAACTGTGATTTAAAAAAATACGGACTACTTTTTATATTATTCTTGGCTATAAAAAAGATAACATCCATAATGCCATTCTATTGTAGTTCTCACAATCACTCTATCCTACTATATTCTGATAGGATATGCTTTCCTCAACTGTATGAGAATAAAAGTAACCAAAGTTAAAGCAATGCATTTGCACTTAAAATATAACCTGTCCAAAGAACTTGAGTAGCTTTATTCCCAACTCCCTACTGAATAATTTTTTAGTAAATCCCCTTTCCTCTTTTGCCTTTCAGTGGAAAAGCAAAGCTACACAAAAATAGACATGCATAGGGAATCTGTGTCTAACCAAATAGTGACTTTTAAAAGCAATGTGTTGTTCATATAAAATGAAACGGTATAAAATAAATGTTGGGGTCTCTACCATGTTGCTTTGAAATTTAAGCATTATTCTAAGAGGGTTATGTCCTAATCGATGCAATACATCCTTGCTTTGACGAGAACCTCTTCTCTGCTTTACTAGGTGATTTCAAAAAGAGAAAATAAGAGAAAATTATGCAATACTAAGGACCTTACACAATAAATATCAAATATACTGACTTTCCTTTTAGTTTTGCTTAGTTTCAAAAGCTCTTAGCAAATGTCCCTGGCTGCAATCAAGGTGCTATACGCACTGCAAAGCATCAAAAATGAGGATGAAAGAACCACACACTTAAGATCTTCAAAGGTTCACATTTACAGAACAAGCATTATCTTTAAATGCAAAAATATACAACTAATTTGGTTGAATTAAAATGAATCGTGGTTAGTTTTATATAAACAGAAATAAGAAGTATACTATTTCAGATTTTCATTCTTTTAAGAGCTATAAACATAAAAAGTAATTCACATTTGAAAGATTATCTACTTGAATGAAAGAGCCCTTGGAAAGAAAAAGAAAAAGCTACTTTACAAACTGCAAGTGAAACGGGGAGAAAAAAGTAAGTTAGATCAATGCTGCAAGCTTCCTGCCAAAACCTTTTATTATTAGAACTCAGTTAATAATGAACAAATTATACTTGTCTATTTTTTCTTATGGTTATACCACTCATTTCCAGCTATTCAAAAGCTCAAATAAGATATAACCTATGAAATCAGGTACTGGACACATCAATTTATTCTGCAGGATAATCCTCTCCATAGCAACATTACAATTACAGATTTTGTTCTTTCTTTTTAATACTACAATATTCTGTGGGAGTGGGACTTTTTACTCGCTGTTATTACAAACCAGTTACCTCTCTCAAACAGGTACTAAGACCATGACTCAAACTACCAAATGAGAATCAAAAGAGAACATTAAATTTTGAACTCAAAGGCTCCTAACAATGGTTCTTACAGGCCACTGTTTGCTTTCAGTAAAAACACATTTTCTCAAACCTTTTAATCCACTTTTAACAGTTTGTAGTTTTTAAGCTATTGGCAAAGCATTTTTTCCTTATTTGCTGAAGTGTTAAATCAGCTTAGTTTACCGAAGTATTAATTTTTGTGGTACACTTCAAAAAGTAGTTACCCTACAGATGTAGTGTTCGAATCACTTTAAGATGTTAATCAGATGTATACAGTTAAAATAATTAGTGTGGTCACTATAAACAATTTCTGTTCACGGATTTGTATGTAGAGCTAACGTTTACTTCAGAATAAAACATTAACAAACAGGGAAGGAAGAGAATCAGAACTTTTCACAGAGCTGTACTTGAACCATATCTTATAGACAAAGCAGAATTACAATGCATGTAACAAAAACAGTAAAAGTATTTAAAAGTTGAGAGTTACAAATATGGTACGTAACAATTTTCTACTTTATTTCAATACAATTTTCAACATACGGTCTACTATTTTTCAAGATATCTGAAGACTTAAAACAAAATTTCTATAGGCTACTTGCAAACAGTAAAATTTAAGTAAAATGCTTACATCATTTGAAAACAAAATTCAGGTTAAAAAAAATGGTGGGTGCAAGTTCTGCTCTCTGTAGCAATCTTACTTCAGTTACTATTCCTAAAAAAGAAAGAAATTAAGTATTAATAGATGTCTAGAATGAAAATGAATCATAATAATTATGCTCCTAAAAAATTACTAGGGCCGGGGATTTGGCTCAATGGTACCACGCCTGCCTTGCAAGCTCAAGGTACTGAGTTTGATCCCCAGTACCAAAAAAGAAAAAATTACTAAGAATTGCCACCTAAATCCATACCAAAGGAAATCTGTCAGTATCACAAGGAGAAATTTTCTACCTTTTCCTCTTTGCGTCTGTCCTTCTTGTCTTCATTATTGTCCATAGTCTCTTCTTCATCTTCAACAATCCCATCCCCTTGGTACTTGTCATGGGTCCATTTTGGGCTGCTACCTGATTTCTTGAAATTAAAGCGCCCTCTGCCACGTTGAAAAGTCCCACGACCTCTTCCTCTTTTGGCCCAATAATCCACACCATCATCTCTGTCATCGTGCTACACAAAGGTTAAAGAAAAAAAAAAAAAGACAGGTCTTTATTAAAAAGATGATTACTCCTCCAATCATAAATCATGTACATTCCTGAAGACTGATAAGATTGGTAATGTTCTAAAACACAAAATCAATTAAACTAATTTTTCAACAAAAATATATTCCATTGACAAAGAAAATAAATACATTTTACTACTTAGTAAATTAAGCACCAAGCATTGTCCAACTGCTAAATTACCATTGATTTTCAAAATTCTGACTTTTCCATCTTACTTCAACCTAAGTCTACTTGTTACTATGGAACTTCATTTATTTAAGCCTGGGACTGTACAGGTAATTAACAGACTATATAAAAGACCACTTACCAATTGCATAATCTATCTCTATCAAACCAAGCGAAAAGACTTCTAGGAGAGGAGTATAAAGGATTGCATAAAAAATGATTTCTGGAACTATCAAATTCAAATTTATCACTAAGAATTTAACTACAAACTCAAAAAACTATTTAAAAATAATATGCCACTCAAAATAATGTCCAGTCAATCATAATTTCATTCTCACGGCATTAACACACCGCCAACTCGTTTGTGGGGATTTTTTCTATTTTGATAGTATTTACACAGTATTCCATAAATTTTCAGGAAAATGCAAGTAATTTTGGCATTGGCTTAAATCTTAAAGAGAAACTGTAACTTTGGACAATTTGAAAATTTATTTCTTCATTTTAATATAGGGAGATACCCGAGGGAACACAGAAGATAGGTTAAAAAAAAAAAAAAAAAGTACCTGGCCCTAGTATCTGACAAGCAAGCACTGAATGGTAATGATGTTTCTATAGTGCATACTATGGGTAAGGCACTGTTCCAAGTGCTTTATGCATACTTGTTTATCTACACAACAACCCTATAAAATACTACTACTGTACTATACTTGTTTTGATTAAAAATTAAGGCACAAAGAAATTAATAACCCTTATGACTATCAGCCACAGGATACATTTCCTAGGCATCTTAGTGGCAATAAATGACTAATCAAACTTGACAACAGAATTAAAAATAGAAGAGGCAGTAGCAAAGCTAAACAACAGAGTTAAATTAGTCATTACTTTTTTCTTTACGTTTTTTTTTTGAAGACAGGATCTTGTTATGTAATACAGGATACCCTTGAAATCACAATGTAGTCCAGGCAGGTGTTATGATGATCCTCCTGCCTCAGGCTCCAAAGTGCTGAGATTACAGACATGTACCACCACACCTGGCTACTAGTCATTACTTTTAGATGTACAATCATCTGAAACTTGGTAAAGAAATATTTAGAAGGAGTTGTATCTTTCAGAGGGTATCCTACCAGCTATTTGGATTTTGTTTTGGCAGTACCAGGGTCTTGCCCATGCCAGACAAGTGCTCTATCACTGAAATAAAACCGCAGCCCTTTTCTAAATTTTTGAGATGGTCTAAGTTGCCCAAGACGCCCTTCAAACTGCCATCATCCATCCTCAGCCTCCCCAGCAGATGGGATTTCAGATATGCACAATCACATCCAGCCTGAGATTTTTTATTTCAAACATACTTTTTCCTCAAATCTTACCTCTAAGATTTCAATCTCATTATAATTTTAAAAATTAAATTATTTCAAAGATGATAAAGGGCCAGACATTAGATGTTTATACCTAGACAAAAGTATGTTAACAAAGGAATTTGTATTAGATCCTCTGAATCCTCTTATCTCTTCTCCATAGAAGACTACCAAATGACTACCAAAACGCCAATCCTGGCCCCATACCACCACCACACCCTTCCCTCCACTAAGGACTTTCTCTCCCTCAGAACACATCAACACAGAAAACTTGTGCACTTAGTACTTTCTCACATGCTCCAACTCTTCATACTCAAACTTCCATGGAATTTCAGGTTCTCTGATTACTGAAAATATTCCCACATCTATGTATAAATTCAAATTTTTCAGGTAACAAAATTTAACAAAAAAACAAATGTTACCATAACTCAGATCTGGAGGGCAAATAGTATAATACTTTCAACTCTAGAGGCCAATGCATAGATTCAAATCTTGACCCCACTGCTACTAGCTACTAGATGTCTAGTTTCTTTTTAATCTGTAAAAACAATAGCCCCAAACTCAAAAGGACTTTATAAATACTAAAGTTAATACATGTAAAATATTCAAAACAGCATCTGCTCTCATACATAAAGCTCAATAAATATTAGCTATTATTACTAAGAGCGTATTAATGTTTCACCAACATGGGTAAAACTTCTATGCTGGTTGACTATCCTAACAGAATAACTAGGGGAAAGCTTGGTTTTGAATCTCGTTTTTTCCTGAACTTTGGTTATGTTTCTATTCTCAACACTGCCTGAAAAGCCATCTTTACATAAGATCTGAAGGATTTTAAATTCTAATATTCACATAAAACTCAAAATTGCCATTCCAATGGCTCACAGAACCAAAATAACTTTGAAAAATGACTTATAAGGAAAAAATTTATTAATTTGCTAGTTTTACTTAATAGGCTAGTAACCATCATTGTGGGATACATGAAGATACATTTTATATACAGACCAGAATTTGGAAATATAGCTTGAAATAGCAACATGTAAGCCTGTATGTAAGCCTGTATTATTAACTCACTCGTTAATAATACTGCCTAATTATAAGTCAATCTAAAATAACTATGTCTCAATTTAAGGTGAAATCTATGATACCAGATTCTCAAAGAATGCTGGAGGGACTGGATCAATTATGTTTTTATAATTTCTAAAAGTGGTAAGTACTATACAATTGTTCACTTCTCATTCTGTCTTAACTTTTTGACCTTTCTCACTTAGTCTGGCATTTTAATGTTTCTCAACCGAAGTTTAAAATGCTGATCTTTTCTGACTAAGCGATCCTGTCTTGGCTTTAGCAGGAACCAATAATATGACGGTTCCTGAATTTTTGGGTCTAAATCTGCATTATTAACTATTTATTGGGCCTTCCTCTTGATTTCTCCTAATTTTAAATTCAACTGGTCCACAAGAGAATTTTACCTTCTTAAACCTTTTGTCTATACTCACTAGAACAGAATTTAACATTCTTGTTGCTTCCACCTAGATTCCATATCTTAAATTCTTTCCTCTAATTACCAAGACCCAACTAGATGGTCTCAAGGTCCCTATAAATGCTCATCTTTCCTCAGATGTAGCCCATTAGCTCAGGCACTCAGTACCTCTCCAATCTTCCAACCATGCTTTTTCCACACCCTCACTCAAAAATCAAATTTATTACTTCCACAATCTGTGACTCCTGCTGCTTAGTTTTCCCAAACTTACACCATTTAACCCCTTGAGCACTACAGTTCTCTATACCATGTTGCCTCACCCCTTCTGCTATCTGCAGCATACATATGCCTTTTATATGTTCAATATTCAAGTCAAGTTTCACTCTACTTTGCAAAAGTTCACCATTTCCTCCTTTGTGAAAAGTACTATATACATTTAGAACATTTCTCTATGGACTACTCTAAGCCAAAAATTGGAACACACTCACAATTGTGTTTTCACTCCTAGTACCTAACATAAACAGTAGCCTATTAATCTTAAATCAAAAATTAGATGTATCTTTTAAACTTTTCTATAACTAAATCAAATTTTGCTTTCCAAATTGTTAACAACCTAGCAGTTTTGTTTTAAAGAAATATAAACTGAGCAAACAGTATGAATAATGTCCTCTGTAAAAATTTATGTAACCTTCTCAAACTCCAGGGTCCTTAATCCACCATAAAAGAAACAAATGGAATTTAGTTTTTGAAAAGTATATTGTTGACTTTCCAAACAAAACAGAGTCTACACTTCATAATACAGCTTTCCAATCTAATTAAGCAGATTTGCCATGAACATACAGATTTACTCTAATACATTCATTAAGTCAAATGAATGACAAAATGCTCTAAATCCACTTTTTTACTTGCTTTCACCAAGCAACTTATTTTCAACCTAACCTCTGAAACCCTGGTAATAGTTTTGGTATATTAGGCTTGTCCCTATAATGCAAGATACACCCAAGACAAACTACCAAAAAATTATCCTTATCTAGAGATCCATCAGAACCCACCATCTCTAGCTTTATTCTTGGAAAACAACTTCAGAGGGAAAAGCATCCCCATCAAAGGAAGCAGCAAACAGTGAACCCAGCAGCTTTTCTAAACATAATTTTGTGTCTTCCTTTTATTCCAATGAAATCTGACAGCTTTGACTCTTTATTATAAATACTATGAAAAAATGCATGTCTTTTATTTAAGTAGCTATGATAGAAGAAACATCTTAGTGAGAAGTTTCTACAACTATCACTGTCTTATAGACAGATAAGAAACATGTTCAGCTTAACTACAATATAATGTTCTCTCAGAATGTGACTATCATATGATCAGCCTGTATGTGATGTAAGAAAGTACTGTATAAATAAGACTGAAGGGACCCACATTTTCAAAACTCCAAAACCTCCAAGTAACGATTTATTAAAAAGGTCTTCCCACCTTATGGTGAAATCGTCTCATAACAGTGGATTATCTGTACTCAATGTAGTCACCTAGTATGTCTTGAAAATTAATGCAAACCATATAAACACAGATTTCTAACACCCACCAAGAAGTACTTCTTGCTCTTTGGGGTATATTCTGGATCCCATTCCTCTTCCTTCGGTCTCTTTTGAAAAGAAGTATTTGAGTTGTTTGGACCAGTATTTGTCCCAGCAAAAACTCCTCTGGCTCTTCCTCTGCCTCTAATTCGAAACTGATTAACATTAACAGAGTTGTTTAGTAATGCAATCAAAAGTATTTAGTTACATGCAAACACTAATTTTACTGCAGTAACAACAAAACAAAATATATATGCCCTAATGTCCTACCTAAATCTCAATTTTATATCCACTAAGGACAGTAAGAATGGCCATTTTATACCATAAGCAAAAAAAAATTCTGCCTACTCAAAGCTGAGCAGGTTAAGAAACAAAGTGTTGGAAGATTGCACCTTCATGTCCTGAATTAAAAATTTAAAATAATCAAGTCCCCCCCTTTTAAAAGCCAAAATAGTCTAATTCCTTTGAATTATCACAGGAGCCCCGAGTGTTCAACCATTTCTATTATCACGTGATAAAAGCTCTGTTTTTCCAAATGACCTAATTAAATAAACCCTACGCCAATACCCACCTATATATAACTCAAGCTAAGAATCAAACTAGAAATTAAAGAGCCAAAAAGATGTACTATGAAGTCATTAAATAGCTATAGCAACTTTATGGAAACAGGGATATGAGTATGCTAGGTAGAATAAAAAGGAAAGTTATGGTTTGTATGACTAATTGTACATATAAACAAGGACTTGAAGAAAACACGCAAAAATGAAAATAGTTGTAACAAAGACAAACATACGAATTTTTTAATGTTTTACACAGCTTTTCAAACACTGATTCAAGAAACATCTCTTACTCTTGGGTCTTTAAGGATTACGATATTGGTCTGAAAGTACGCAGCTACTTCAAGACTTCAAAAATGGCACTTCTCACTTAAGATAGTACTTCAAATACAATTTCTTTTTTTTTTTTTTACTAACTGATGTTAGGAATAATCTCTAAATCATATTTGAATCTCCATATGTAAGTAATCAAAGATAAAATTCTATCAAATGATCAAAGATAATTTTAATCACTTACGAAGGTTCCTCGTGGTCTGCTAACTCCTGCAAAGCCAGAGTATTCTTTCAGTTCATGATGGGTTTTAAATTCTTCTTCTCGTTCCTTCTTACTTTCCTTTTCTTCTCGAGAACTGGGAGAAGAGGGTGATGCTGAAGAGGACGAAGATCGAGAATGATCTTGCTCTCTACTTTTATGTTTACTGCAAAATAAAACAAAAAAAGTGCTATTTTTAAAAACATAAAGAATCCTATTGAATCTTATAGTAAGAGGGATATTTTTTTTAAGTCAAAAAACTATCCCCTATTAAGATTTACATATGTAAAAATTGGGTGTTAAGCTTTGCCAGTCTGTTTCCATTCTCCTTCAAAGACTGTTTTACATCACTACTATAAAACATGCTATGGTCTGCCAGTTACAAACTAGTAATCTGTAAACTTTGAGAACGAGGTTCAGTTCTTCAATATTTTTAATTTATAAAATCTTTAGTTATTTTAATGAAAGGAAAAGAACAGGAAAAAGAATTGCAAAAGGCCAAGTTTCAAAATAACTGCAGTTTATACAACACCCTGGTGAGAACAGTTTGTATGGTTTGGGCCATAATACCATTATAGAAAATGAAAACCATGACATTACAAATACCAGTCATAAATTTAGAAACACAAGTAAAATCCACCATTTACCTAATGAACACCAAGAAAAACAATTATCTATAATACTTTATATTCCTATTATTTATTTGACTCTGAAAATCAAATTTACATGATTCTAATACAAAACTCGAAAAGATCATACCTGCAGTAACTCTTACCACTGCTAAAAGTATCCATGGAAACATTTTGAAAGACTAATACACATTGCTATTTCTAAGCCTTCCTCCCCCCATTTTTCCCATGTTAAACCACTAGATAATCAGTTTAAAATTCTTGTACTCTGGGTGTTATGAGTTGAAAAAGTGCGGAATCAAGCATAACGAACCAAAGTTCTTACACAAACTGTTTCTAGAAATGCACTGCATTGAAGTCCAACCTCCTGATGTAGCCTGGATAATAGGACACATTAATTTGTCATTTTTTTTTTCAGTGTTAGCTTGCTATTCCAAAGTTTTTGTCCTCATCCACCATAAGCCGTGTAAAAGACAAATACATTTTTGCTGTAAAACAAATAATTTTAATTGTTTAAATTTAAACATTCGATTACACAATCAAAATTGAAAGCAATTAAGCTGACAATTATTATGGCTAATTAGAAGCTAAAACCTAACAGACAATTTTTTAAATTACCTGTCATCTTTGTAAGATTTGTATTCCTTGTAATCTTTTGGAGTTTTGTCCTGCTTTCTCGATCCACTGGATTCCCTGGAGCCCTTGGAATCCCCCCGTTCTTTACTTCTTTCTTTTCTACGGCGATCAATGTCATGCCGAAGATCAGCAGAATCACACCTTAGTTTTTTATCTCCCTATAAAAGACATGTAAAATACAGATTTCAGAGAAGAAACAGAAAAGATACATAATTAGATTTATGCCAATTTCTAAACTGGCATTTTAGTATCAGAAAAGAATGGATCAAGTACTACACTATCATCCTTAGTTTAAGTACCCCATCATTTTTACCAGTATTTGTGTACAACTGCAGTGAGATTGGAAGTTATAAAAACTGATTATCTTGAAAATTTCAGTTTTTATTCAAAGCAATGCATAAACTTTTGCACAGTAAAATGTTAACATTTTTTCACTCAAAACATCCTCACTAAATATCCCTCATCTATCCTAACTGCTCTTTTAAAATAGATGAACAATAAAAGTTCTAATCTATATGGTGTTGTAAACTTCTGCCTAAAAATTAAGATTCTGAAGTAACTGTTCTCATTAACGAAGTCTCATCATTAACTTCTTCCCAAATAAGCTGACAAACCCAATTTAAAAAAAAAAAACACTTCAAAAGAATTCTGCAATTTCCATAACATGCAAGTGGAATATGATTAATGAAACCAATTGAGGTTGAACAAGGGTTGAAACAATGCCAGAAAGATATTATTCGCAATCCTGTACTCAGTATCTTGGGCCATATACTGCCCTTGTCAATTCAGGTATTGCAACGGACATTAGTTTAACTGGGTCACAATTCACCTCCTTCTTGTTCCATTGCTTTTTCAAATACTATATAATTTAGGAAGATGGAAAGAGGCATCTAGGAATGAAGAGAAATTATACATCAGTAAGATGCTAAGCAATGTGGACATCCTTGCTAGTATTCAACAACATGAAGTATTTATTCTGGGAAGTCTAGCTATAATATTCATCAGCATTCATAAAACAAAGAAAAAAGTATCTTTCCAAAAGACTTGCTCTTAAGATAACAAAAAAAATCTATTCAACACCAAAAAACCTTCCTATTCACCTAGGTTAAGTCCAGAAGTAACAAATGAAACTACTTTGTAAATTTCTAACTATATATACATTAAATATTAACATGTTAATTATTCGTTCAGCTAGATAGAAAAGGATAAAAACCAATGTCAAATTATCACCATCTATCAGTTTTTACTATTGTCTTTCAGATTAAAATCTGATATACATATTGAGAAAATATTAACTGTCAGAGCACAAGAACAGCCTGAATTATTACAAAAACAAAATTAACACTGAACCCACAGTGCTGGAAGTTAGAAGTTAAAAAAAAAAAAAGAAAAAAAATTCACTTCTCAAGGCCTATTTTTCCAAATCAAGAGAAATCATTTTTACACACTAGATTCCACACCCAGTTAGTAGCACTTCCTTTTCGAAAAACCTGCATACAACCAGTTAGTAACTGCTTCTAATATCAATATTTCAAAATAAGCCAAGTATTCCACAACTATATAAAACAGATTCTCATGTTTTTAATTAGAAAATCAACGTTCACTTTAAATTCTTCCACATATAGAGTACTTACTGGTGGCCAGAATTACAACCAATTACTACTTCCAAAGGTTCCCTAATCTTTTCAAAACAGACAGTTGCTCTCATCCTACCTTTTTCTGCACATTTTTACTACAAGATAGTGCATGGCCTGTCATATATGCTAGTCTACTTAGTAAATGTCAACTGTAAATTATCAAAATATAAGAAAAGTCCCTGGAATTTCTCAACAAGCCGTTCCCCATGCCTCAAGTGTAAAAGCCAACCCAGATATTCCAATAGTGACCAATACTTTTTCTTCTTCCAAAGTTTCAGTGGTTAATCAGTTCTCAGAATGCTTATTTTTGAATCCATATCAAAAGTGTCCAAAGACATGGGGATAAATTGTGGCTCACCCATCTTACTTCAAAACTATAAAGAAACCATTTATACATTTGCTTTTACAATCTTCCTTTGTCTATTCACAGACTACATTTTCTTAGGACCAGTATTTTCAATGAAGCATTTTCAAGAACTATTCTTGGTTTAGCACATTACAGCGTCATCTTAATTTCCTCTAGGGAGAAATACTGTGCACAATGCCATAAATACTATGTGTTTACAAGTTAAAAACAGGAGACATCTATGAGTATTCTGCCTTAAGAGAACAACATTTAATACAATTTCATTAATTAAACTGAAATGAGAATGAAAAGAAACTCAAAAACATACCTTCTGACTTTCTTCTTTAAAAACTCTCTCCTCTCCTGCTAAACGGGTATGCTTCCTCAGGGCACTTGGAGAGATGTCAATTCTCCTTAATGTAAAACAAAGTATTTGTAGTCATGGTTTTGACTTTATGGCTCAAAAGATTATACAAAATTTCTAATTTTCATGATACTACACAAGTTATTGCTCTTTCAATAAACTAATTTAACATAGTAAATCTATTAATTCTTTATAGACAATTTAAAAATAAAAATATCGATTAAGAATGAATTAAAATGCTTTGGAGATATATATATATATATATATGGGAAATTTAACCTTTTAAATAAACTTATTTGTCAGCAAAAATAGAAAATCATGTTTTGATTGAATATTATCAGTTTAAGAGCTGATCATCATGGAATGTTAATACAGCAATATCCTCAATGAACACATATGAATACAAGTACCAGCTCCTAGAGTCCATATTTTTACATATTTCAGTTCACTTTTGACTTCATTCTGAACCTTTCTCTTTAACCTAATATCAACTGCAAATTCCCAATGCTTTTTTGGCACTCAGTCACTACCAAGACCATAACAACTGAGTACTAAGCATTTATAACCACTAACAATAATTGTCACCATTATCCTGCAAATCAGACATTATCTTTATTCTGCAGATAAAAAACTGATGCCCAACAATTAAATAACATGTTCCTGATAATGCAATGAAGTGACAGGGCCAGAATGACTGCACTACACAATTGTCTTGACTTCAACATCTGTGCTCTTGTCATGAAAAACAGTGTACCACTTGCCAAGTTTTTGGTTTCTGCGGCACTTCAGGTTGAACCCAGGGCTTAATGAATGCTAGGCAAGCACTCTACCACTGAGCTACATCCCCAGCCCACACCAGGCATTTTTATTTCAGAATCTTACTGATAGTAAATTCAAGAATTACTCTAGGCCTCCCTTCCCTTCTCAAAAAAAAAAAAAAAAAAACCCAACTATTTAAACTCCATACTGCAAAGTGATTAAGAGTATTTTAAATGGAAATGATTAAGTTTAGACCAAGTAAACTATAAACCTTTTAAGACTTAGAAATACATTTCTCAAATATAAATAAGGAAGAAAACTGGTTTACTGGTATCATGATGATAGTATATTTCCTGTATAAATCTTGTTAAAAATTTCTTCCTAACGAAACAACACTTTTATTTGAAAATTCAGTACTACACTTACCTGTGTATTTCAGGGCTCTTTTGCCGGGTACTATGCTCTTCAGTGGCTTTCTGATACGAAGTGAACCGCTCGTTAAGGGTCACTGCAGGTGATTTGAAGTATTGCTCTGTTGATTTAGGAGAAATACTGCCGAGTTAGGAATCTTTACTTTAAGAGGGGATTTTCGTTTGTGACAGAAGGGCATGTAGCAGGTGAGAAGAAAAGAAATACTCAAGGAACCTAGCAGAAGAGAATCAAGTGTTACAAAAAACTCCTACCCTTTCCTTTTTTAACTTCCTATGCCTCAACAAGTGATCACAAAGTTCCTCACAGGTCCATCAATAGTACATATAATCCAAGAACAACTACATATTAAATCAACTCTTAACTCCATTCTAATGCACTATTTCCTCAAACAAAAACAGTAACACATGGATGTCCTTCTACCTTGCCAACTGACAAATGGAGGAAGCTACATCAAGTAATCATTTACAGAAAACAAATTATGCAGAAATAACTACAAAGATGGATTGAGTAAACAAAACTGTTTCTTCAAGAACTACATTGGCATATCAAAAGAAATGGCTTTAAGAAAAAAATGATCACTGCCATTCAAGTGGAAAAATGTATTTAAATCCATTTATATTCATTAATTACTTCAAAACTCTGGCATCTTGGCAAACCTGACAGCGCATCTGACATGGTTGTCTTGCCTCTCTTTAAACATCTTTCAAGTTACTACAATTACTACTCATGTTTTTAAACCAGTTCAAGATATGTTATAAATGTTAAAGATGTATAAAGTCATGAACTATGAAATGTTACATTATGAAGTAAGCTATCTGCTTAACAGGTCAACATACATCTGTGTCAACTTACCGCCCAATATCCAGCACATGTCTCATAACCAATCATTAAAACTTGAAACGGCCACTACAAGGGTAGTGCCTCAATCTTAATTCCATGAAACCCAGGAATTTGAGCTAGTAACTCAGTTTTTATGCCATTTTTGCCAGGAAGACAGAAGATTCAACTTTGCCTGTATCTTTCAACAGCTATTTTTACTTTGAAACATGGATTTTGCCATTTCAAAACATATTCCAGGACCTAGTTACAATGAAAAAGAAAACATCACTGGGCATTTTCAGCTCTGTATTAAGAAAGAGCTGTTCAGATCGGTTGTACAATACCAATTATGAAACATAACTACAGTTCTTTTAAAAAAGAAAAAACGATGAAAAAGGAAAAAATATCAAAATCTGATCTCAAAATTCAGCAATAAATTGTAAAATGTAAAGTCAAAAAAAGGTGAAAAACGAAAAAAATGTTCATGTTTCATATTTTACGTACCACGGTAATATGGTCACAAGCTGGTTCACGAATGTACTTGTAGCCAAACAGCAAAACTGGTTTGTTATCATGTTTGATTACAACCAAAAAGAAATTATTCACTGCTTTGAACTATCATGCACAAAAGGGAACTGCTAGTGACAAGTTTTAGCTATTATGAGTTGTCTTCATGATAAAGCTTAAAAAAAAAAAAGGCTTAAAACCAACAGCCATGGAGGTTCCTACCTAGGAAAGACCCAATAAAACACAAAAACAAAATTTAACCTAATTGCCCAAAACATCATACCCTAAAACCTCTGAAAATTAGTAGGAGCAACTATGAAACTAGAATTACATAGTAGTGAAAACAGAAAATCTTTAGTTGGAATGAAAATATCTTTAGGACCTAAAGAAATGTTCTATCATCCCAATTAGTAACTAACTACTCATGTATAATCACTATCCAATATGCATTTAAATCCTTGGACTTTCTCCTTTTAAAAAGCCTGATACATTTTCTTCTCGTCTATCATTTTTATAGCAAATTAGCAGAATAGATGGGAAATTAAAGTTTCTCCACTAGTTTCAGATTTCTTCAAAAACTGAACAGAAATTGAGTAACAGAACTGCCTTACTTTTGTTATAAAGCCATGCCTACAGTACATTATCACAAGTCATGAGCATACAACACAAGGTATTTAAGCACTCTTCATTCAAACACACTGTAATGGCACATTTAAGACTTTTAGCATTAAATATACTTCATATTTTAAGATGATAGTTTTTCAGACTATTTTAACTCTAGCATTTTGGTTATTTATTAAGTATCTTCACGGGTCTCAATGCTAGCAAGACTGATTATCTTCCACAAAACTTTTTCCAAATTTTTCATAGTGTTAATGCACACCTGTTAGCCTGGAGTATTAAGTACCCACTTATTTGCATGCAAGAGAAATTTAATAACCATACTAAACATATTAAGCATACCTTTAACATGATGAACCAAGGACACAATGTGTTGTATAAATGACTCTGAAGTGCTTTTGCTGGCCTGAGGCAACTTAATGTGGTCAAAGATGGATCGGAATTCTTGTTCCTTCTTGACAGAATGGACAAGTGTACTAGCAAGTAGCCTGTCTTTAGTCAAGGAGGCAGGTCTGGAACATATCAGTAACACACACACACACAAACAAAATATACCATTGGTTTGAATGTGAATATAAGCATGTTTAGAAAAGAATTAACTGTAATATTACCTAATTACCCACAGATTACTTACTGAAGGTCAATGTGGAATTACCTGTTAGAATCATCAAGAGGAACAGGTGCCATTTTGAGTTTGACTTCAGGACGGTGTGAATCACTGGCTATCATTTTGATCCTAAGTGGACTCTCCTCTCTGAAGGTAGACTTTTCTCTTGCATCCAGATTCTTGTGTAGAGGGGGACTGTAATCAAAGAGGTCTTTGAGCTTTTCAGACTTTACCTGCTCAGGTGACTGAGTTTCTTTCTTTACTGTTATTCTTTCAGAACTTTTATCTTCTTCTTTGTGCTTATCTTTTGTAGTGCTTGGCCTTTCTACTACATAGCCAGTCTCTTTAAGTTTATAATTTTTTTCTTCTCTAAATCCATCACTTTCTCTATTGCCTTTCAGTGAAACTTTGGACTTGTACTTGGATCCTTCCTCCTCAGTATTCCGATGAGATGCAGCAGCAAAATTTTTACCCTGATCTGCAAGGACTGACTTCCTGAACTGTCTATAATCCTCTGTCTCCTCTGTATCATCCCCTTCTGAATCATTAAACTTTTGTTTTCCAGACTCTTTATCACTGAAGTAATCTAGAGCTTCCTGATCTTCCCATTCTCCCTCTGCCCTCCCTTTCTCTGATCCTTTCTCCTTTGGCGCCTCTTTATCCCTGGTATTACCCCTATCAAGCAGGAATACTCTAGACTCTTCATCTGTGAACCTGTGAATAAGCAAAGAAGAGGATAGTAACTCTGGATTCCATTCACTGTAGATCACTTGCATACTTAAATGTGTTGCCAATATCACAGGACCAGCAATGAGAGAAAATAACCCTACTTCTTCAGATTTCACTCTGGAAAATCATTAAAAGTATCCATAAACAGAATTTACATACTGACTTTTTTTGGTTTTGTTTTTTTGGTACCGGGGATAGAACTCGGGACCTTATGCTTGCAAGGCAGGCGCCAGAACCACTGAGCTAAATCCCCGGCCCCATACTGACTTTTAAAACAAATTCACATATTAAACTTCCTGAGGTTTAAAAGTAAAGCCATCCTCAAGCACCTATTCTGTTTGGTCACACCCCACAATTCTGCACCAACAAATCCAAATTTCTACAGAAATCCTTTAATACACAACACAGACTGAATTTAACTTTGAAGCTGAAGACCGCTAACAGATGATAGGTTTATCTATTCTACATATAATTATCTCAAAATTTCAGGCTATTTCACTTACTTCTCTAACAATATAAATAAGAGCTCATACAAATAAACAATGCAGCTAATAATGCTAGTTATTTAATACTCTATCTGAATTATAAAATACAAACTTTAGAAAATCTCTGGCAATGACAGGAGTTAAGTATTAGTTCAATTAAAAAACAATTCTAGGTTGTAGAATAAAACATAAAAATTATTTTTCTCTGTTTCCTCCACTTTTAAGTCAATTCATACTCCATTAGTTACCAATTTTCATTAAGTTCCTTAGCAACTCTCAGCAGTGCTTGAAACCAAGTAACTAAAGTACTGGAGTTAGAAATACCACCATCTTTTCTAAAGTTAGGCAGAATTTAGTAAACAATGACAGCTAGACTTTTTATACTACTATACAAGAATGTGTAATATAAATAAATTGCTTATGTAGATCATATTATAAAAACAAAAAAAGCTCTCAATCAGTGCTCTAACAAAATTAATTTCTAGTTTTTATGGTCCTTATCAGTTATGCCTTAAACTGTTCAATTTGGCCTCATTTGTAGTATTAATTCTGCACTGACTGAAAATGAATAAAATTGAAAGGAAAGGCCCAAATTAGTTTCTATTAAAACACTTAACTTCCAACATTTACTATATGGGAATAACAACTTGTAACTATCTCATGAAGTAGTAAGGCATGAAAAAGAGCTAAATATGTACCACAATTCAATTCAAAGTTCTTAATTCCAAACAGAATGGAAAGAAATCTAAATTCCCTACTTTAGTCCTTACCTTTTTAAGAACTTTCCAGTCTTTGCAGTTTCCTGATCTCCTCCATCAGGATAAAAAGAACGTCCCCTGGACTCATCTCTTGGAGCATTCTGTGGTATGATTGTCTTTGCTGGGCTTCTTCGTGAGGGGATATGATGAATTGGACTATTCTGAGAAGGACTGTATCGACTAGATCCATTTCCAATAGAACCAGATCCAGACCTTTCAGGACTATGCTGAATGGAATGTGAATGCTGAGAGGGGGTATTTTTTGCAGAGTGAACTGTACTAAGCATGGGGGCATCAGAGCAGGATGAACTCTGACTAGGTGGTGTAGCAATAGGTGAAGGACTATGGGGTGATCTGGGACTATTATCATAAGCAGAAAGGCCAGGCCAAATATCGCCAGATGTGGCTGATTTATTAAATTCATCAATAGATTCAGATGGATCATGTTCAAACGTATCTTTCGGCTCTTCTTGTGATTTACTTTTCAAAGGACTCTCTTCTTGGGGTTCCCCTTCAGGTTTTTTGGTTTGTTTTTCCTGAGACCCTCGTCTTTTGGAGACAGGAGATTTACTATATGGGGATGAAGAACGAGATGATGATGATCTTGGAGACCTAGAGGATCTATATGACCGGCGAGATCTGCTTCGGGATCTTTGAGACGAAACTGATCTTCTTTTTGGACTCCTGGAACGTGAACGACCTCGTCTAGGACTCCTAGAGTGCCTTCTATTCCAGACAGGTCTATAACCACCTCGATGATATCTACCTCCTCCTCCTTGATAATACCCTCTACCCCTTCCTCTGTACCCATAAGGTCGTCTCATTCCTCTATTATTTCTGTAATCTCGTCGATAATCTCTAGAATAAATACGATCTCTACTACGAGATCTTGAATATGTCCTGGAACGAGACCTAGAACTAAAAATGAAATAAATATCAATGTAAGAAAAATAAAGTATTCCATCCTACCACTCTAAATACTTCTGGGTGAACATAAATTACCAAAGGTAAAAATGCATTTTTTTTTTTAAAAAACCTCATTTGCACAAAAGTTTACTGTTTCTAATTTTTTAAAACAAATTTCTAAGGTAAATATTGAGAGAATAAATTAAAGGCCTTGGAACAAAGGCACAGAAAACATGGTGAAGAAAATCAATACAGCCCCAATAAGATACATTAGCAAATTACAGTATATCTAGCCTGGCACTTAAAGTGACACTATAAAAGAAAACTTAATGGAATGCCACCCTGTACTATAAATGGAGAAAAAGGTAGTTAGCCTACAAAAAGAACACAGAGAGATCATAAACTACTATATACAATTCCTCATTTACAGACCAATTCATTTAATGACCATCCTGCAGAAATGCAATGCTCCTTAAACAGGGAATGTCTGCATTCAAATCTGTATCTGACATTTATTAATTCTAAATGGGTTGTTTTTGTTTTCAATGCATGCTTTCTACTTCCTGTGTTACACTAGCTATCACTACTTGAAGAAAATCAGAGTTGACAACTTTTAAACAACTCACTACAGATATTCCTCATTTAACGACCTACCTGTTTAGCAGCTGTTCAGACTTACACCAGTTTTTTTTGTACAGTTCTGTACATCTTGTTTACAGAGCCTCAATGTCTTCTTTTGGTACAATACACCTTGTTTATACAGTACTGTAATTTCTGATTGTACTATACAGTACAGTACTATTTTGTTATACATTACAATACTGCACATAACAGGCAAATAAAAACAAAGTCATCAAGTTGGAGTTTCACCATTTCTTTGTTCTGAATACTGTAATGTATATACTACATACAATTCCTCATTTAGTGACCACTTCATTTAACAACCATCCTGCAGGAATGCAGCTTTCGGTAAACCAGGAATGTCTGCATTCAAATCTAGGCTGACATTTATTAGCTTGTAATTTGGGACTATTTTCAACTTTTCCAACTCTAAAATGATCATAATAGATCCATTTTATAGAGTCTTTAAGAATAAAATACATTAATAGACTTAGCACTGTGTTTGCATGTAGCAATCATTTAATAAATACCAGCTGATATAATTATTAAAAGATTACAAGCACAGGGCCAGGGATTTAGCTCAGTGGCACAGTGCCTTTCTTGAAAGCACAAGGTCCTGAGTTCAATCCCTGATACCAAAAATAAATAAATAAATAAATAAATAAGATTAGAAGCACATTAATTCACCTGTATCTCTTCTTTCTAGAGTGCGATCTTGATCTTGATCGAGAACTAGACTGTGATCTAGACTTTGATCTTGAAGAATGTGATCTAGAATTGGAGCGACCCATTTCTTTTCTCCTAGTCAAATTAAAAGCAAACATTAAAATCATAACACAATTAAAAGTTTCACATTATTTATGTTCAGATACAAATTTAATTTTATAAATTATTCTTTTCAAATGAACATTTAGAAGACAAGTCAATTATCCCTTACAAAAACTGCTTTCACCTGCATGACAGATGTACATTAAGGACACAACAGAATAGTTCTATGGACTGTCCCACCTATGTGCCTTAATTGAAAAAGGCAGCAGGTGCAGAAGCCAGAAAGAGCACTATTAGACTGCAACAACATTGTGCTCGCTTCAGCAGCACATATACTAGACTGCAGCAACATGTCAGATATTATTCCATGCCCAATACAAATACCTGCCACTTCCGTAAAAAAAGATGACTCCAAAATATTATAGACAAAGAAACTGAAACAAAGAAAGTGGCTGAATAAGGAAAATAAATCTACCAAACTGACATCATAGCGCTTTATGGCCTTGAAATGGGACTAAACTGACCACTCCATTAAATACAATACTGCCTGAGTGGTGCTGGATAGTTTCCTAATGGATTAAAGGTCACTAAGTCTTCACAGCTGAAACCATAGCTCTGCTCTCAGTAGTCATGACTGCAAGATAAAAATGGACTTATGTGACAATGTCTAGTTTACCCTGTGCTTTTCTGGTAAGAAGATGAAAACAACAAATTGGAGAGACTACTGCAATCATAAAAAGAAACATGGGCACCAGTATTTTAACTTTTCTAAATATCACACGGTATCAATACTATAGTTAACCACTCAAATAGCAATCAGTAACAGAACTAATTTGTTTTTATTCATAAAATTAAAAAATAACCTATATACATGTGACATACATTTGTAATATAAATGACAAATCACTGCATACATTCCAAAAACCACATTTTCAACTTTTCAATGAATCCTAAGACTATAAACAGTCTTAGCCTCCTAAGCTTATTTTTTGCTGTGTACAATTGACCTTCGACCCTCAAGGGTTAAGGGCACTGACACCCACACACTCAAAAACATGCATACTATATATATTAATTTTTTTTGACTGACGGGACAAGGTTTATTGGGGCCCTGGAGACACTGGGCAGGGGGAGAGGGAGCGAGGTGGAGGCTCATGGTGGGGGGCACCCCAGCCAACCTACCCCTTCCCTTTGGTGTTGGGAGGGACGCAGACAGACATCGACAGGGCCGGGAAGGCCTACAGGTACTACAGTGGAGGGGGGAAGCCGGGTGCCCGCCACCTCCACCTGGGACTATCTGGGCCGAGCCGCACTCCACAAGGCAGGGGCGTGCACCCTCCTCGCTCTAAGGAGACGCCGGCGTCCGCACACCTGCCCACGCCGGACAGAGCAGTCTGCGCCAGTCCACTACTGGGCGGGGTGCTGGGCCACTCTACTACAGTGTTAAGGATAGGGCGATCCGCGGAGCCATCCATTCTGCAGAGGGGAGGGTAGAGGCAGACATCTACCCTGGTCCTCTTTCAGCAAGGGGAAGCATACTATATTTTTGATTCTCCAGTATATGCCAATACCCTGCTGTTGATCAGAGCCTCATCAATAATATAAACAACATTTTGTGTTATGTTTTACATAGTGAAAAACATACAATATGAAATTTACTAGTGAAACTGTGCAAATGGAAATAGTGTCACATATTAGTATCAAATAAATGAATATTCCCAGTGAGCTTATCACAATAGCAACAAAAGGTGTTTATGAAATTATAGTAATATACTATGTACTATATTTAATTTTATACAGCTATGATTTGAAACTTTATCTTTACAGATTTGTATCAAGATGGAGCCATGTACCAGAAGTATTGAAAACTTGAATATAAAGTTTTGTGTAAATTGTATGGTAGTAAATAATCAAAGACTTGTCTAGCCAGGCCTGGTGGGGCACACCTGTAATCCCAAAACTCAGAGGTTAAGGCAGGATGATCACAAATTCAAACCCAGCCAGAGCAACTCAGTGGCTTAGTGAGATCCTGTCTCAAAATAAAAATGAAAAGGGCCAGGGATATAGCTCAGTGTGAAGGCTGTAGGTTCAATCCCCTCGGCCTTTGGGCTAAGATCAAGTGCAATCCCCAACACTTAGGGGTAAAAGTGGGCTACTGTCTACATATATTTTATACACATATAACGTATCTTTTTAAAATTATTTCTAGGTTACCAGGTTTGTCTACAAATTGTCACTAACCTACAAAAAACATCGATATAAAGTGGACACAAGAAATTTCAAACCTGTTATTCAAGGGTCAACTGTGTCACTTTCTAAACTTTGACTTATTACTAAAAATAATCATTTCCATAAAAATCATCTTATGAACCTAACCTTCTTCAATTTTCATACATTTAAATCCTATGACCTACAAGCAAATACCTGTGATGGCACTTATTCTCACCTAGTCTTTTTGCTCAGTATAACAACAGTATTTGGAGATGAATTATGGAAGCAGTAATGATGTCTGCATACTGCCTCCTCAAAGAACAGAAATGAAAATTTCAAGAGGTTCAGATACTTCTTTAAAAATAGAATGCTCTATCACTTTTTTCCTTCTATTCTCATCTCAATCCCAAGTAAGCAAGAAATATATAAACACAAAAATAAAAAATACAGGTTCAGGGTTCAAAAAGGTGGAATAAGAATTCCACAATACCTATGAAACAGATTTAGCATTAACAGAAATCTGGTACTCAGTGGAACACAAGTTGAATTTGTTTCGGCAAATCCTGTGATTTTAACAAAATAGAGAAACTGGGAAACAATCACACTTAAAATATCTAAGGAATCTAGACCACTGGAAATTGTGACACTTGACTGGTATTTCATTTCAAAATACTGTATTGTCCTTGAACTTTTAGAAGGTCACATACATGTAAGTTAGTCATTTTGATTAGTTTTATTTCAAGAAACAGATTTTCCCAAGATATTCATAAATATTGTAAGAAATAAAAAACCAGAGCTGCATATAATTTTGGAGATCCCAACAAGGCAAGATTCACTTTAATTGTTATGAAAGCAGAACATTTTTGACTTATTAAGAGCTATAGGTTCTGTGCTATATATATGTATTTCTAGATTCTCTGCTTTTAAGACCTTGAGGTTTTTTTAAGTGGTGATTTCTGTTAAGTGGTTCAAGAATTTTGTAAGCTTTTCCAGCACTGAACACCTGGGCTGGTGTAGAAGATAAAATGAAGACTAACAGAGTCTTGGCTAAGAAAATACTCTCTCCACCCAAGACTGCAGGCCACTCAATCAGGTACTTTAAAAAATATTATTATAGGGCCAGGGATTTAGCTCAGTGGTTTCGCCGCCTGCTGCACAAGCACAAGAACC